TGGTGAGGCCGTCCCGGGATAAGCACCCCCGGAGGCGGAAGGACCAGCAATGACACACAAGACGTAGATCTGCCCATGAATACTCGCCCAGCCATTCGCTGAAGTTCTGCATCTCCAGGTCTTGGCCTCCTAGCTGTTGAAAGGACTTAGAAAATAAATACTTCTATAACATTTAATGTTACCAATGTTGACTCAATCTTCAGAATGCCTTTTAGAAATGATCCCCATTTCACAGATGGAAGACTACGGCACAGAGAGGTAATTCTCTCAAGGTCACACAGCCAGTATGGGTGTTTCCAGAACATAGTTCTCGGTAAATATTCTTTTATTTCCTGCCTGCAGGTGTGGCAGGGCCCCATGGCGGATGCCGTGGCTCACACAGGAGCCCGAGACGCACGACTACGAGCACTCATCTGAAGGCTCCAGGCAGGGAAAGAAGGGGAGAGGCTGGGCTGCAAGGCACCTCCTTGCCCCCACACTTCCAGGCAACGCGGGTGGCTAGTAGGCCGTAAACCATTTATTTCCAAACCGTAAATAAATGTGCTCTTGGAGAAAGACGCTATCCAGGTGGGTGACGGGGCCTCAGCCTCTCCACGTCCCCTTCCCAGCTGCCCTGCTGCCTGAACCCAGCCCCTTGTGAAGTCACTATGTCTTGCAAATTAGTCTGGGTGACCTGGTGACTCAACCTGGCCAACAGTCCCTCCTCTTGCTGTGATCCCAACAGAGTAGGCGCCCAGGCTGGCCTAGGGCTCCCCAACTCCCATCTGAGCAAGTTCCGGAAGGGAGGGCAGGAACTATGAGCTCGGCTTAGCACCACCACATGGTCATGCCAGGCAACTCCCAGGCCACTGTTCCCCCACTGCCCTGGAGGACCACCCCTTCTGAGCGGTGTCAGAATGGTGCCTCGTCACAGCAGTGGCACAGGCTGGGGTGTGGCCAGCTCCCACGTGGCTGGTCACTGTTGTCCCTGGGCCACAAAGTACTTCTCTTCCTCGTTGTCCTCATCATCCTGCTGGCTGGTCCGGAGCAGCAGCTCCAGATCTGGGCTGGAGCCCATCCCTTTCAGGGGTTTTGGGCTGTCACCTAAGGAAGAGAGACCACAGTTACAGCCCAACAGTGGTTTTCTTTAAGTTTTGGCTATAGGTTGCATGTGCTCGTCAGAGAGACAGAGAGAGGGAAAGTGAGAAATCACCCACTGTAGGAATGGCCTCACCGCAATTCCTTCTCTTCCACTCTCCTCTTGGGCTTTGGGCATGCATGCACACAAGCCCTGTGTGATTTTCAAGCTTCCGAGCCTGGGGCTCAAACTGCAGTGGGACAGTCAGGAGTCCCGTGCCTTAGTCACTACACCACCTGGTGGTCCCCCGATCATGTTTTTTTTGGGTTGTCCTGATATGCATGTGTGAGGAGTTACCAAGCCCCACCCACCCACTCTCCGGAGATGACCCCTGTGCCACCCCTGAGTGGTGGCGGTGGTGGCAGAACCACCAGGCCTACTTCCTGAATCAGTGCAGCTGCTGACGCAGAGGCAAGCTTCACTGTGCAGCTCACCAGGCTGGAGCTGCTTTGGGGAAGTTGAGCGCCTCTTGGCTCTTCCTGGCAGGGCCAGGGTAGGGTGCAAAGAGCCCTGGGGAGACCACAAGAAAATGAGGGGCTCTGTTACCTTTGGAATGCAGGGCTTTGAGGGCGATATGCAGGGATATTCCCGAGAGGCAGAGGGCAAAGCCCAGCCAGTTCAGAAGGCTGATCTGATCACCCAGCAGATGAGCTGCCAACAGCAGAGTGCAGACTTCCTGGGGGCAGGGAGGCAGGGAGTGAAGTGATCAGCAAGAGGGAGGAGGCAGGGGTTCCGGGGCACTCAGGGGAGACCAGACCCAACTCCAGGCCCAGGCAGGCAGGCAGCAGGGCAGAGGTCAGGGGGCCAGGCCCGCACTAAGGCTTTCTTGCCAGTGACACTGTGTTATTGAGATGCAACAAGGGAGGATTCCCAGGGGATTCCCTCTGGAACAAAGGGCACAAAGAGATCCAGTGCTGGGAGCTCAGGGTGTCCAGGCTAGCCACACCACAGGAAAAAGGAGAGCAACCCTCTGTTGTCCCCGGAAGGCGCCCGGCACCAGAGGCCCTGAGTCTCCACATCTGTGCAGGTACACTGAGCTCTGGAGAACGCACCCTGCCCGGTTCCTCGTGAACGACGACAAACGGGACGTGAAATAATTCACTGAGAACCACGGCCTATGCTTCGACCTCCGAAGGGCAGCCAGAAGACCCCGGGGGAGACCTGCATTTCTGGTTCTAGGTAACTTTGTTCCAATAGCAGTATCAAAGAGAAAACCCCCTCCTCTATGACGCTAACAGGGAGGAGTTGAAAAATGGAGGGGGGTTGGGGAGAGACAGAAGAGAGCAAAAAAGAGCGGGGAAGGCCAGGGAGATGCTACAAGGCCACAGTAAAGACTGGCAACAAGTGGCACTCGCTCCTGACCTACCCCTTGCTGTGCCCACAGCAGACGCTGCCAATCAATCACAGAATCTAATGAGTCTGGAAGGGGCACCACAAGCTACAGCTCTAAGCCACTGGCAGATAAGCAGAGCTGGCACTCGAGGTGAAGTGTAAGTACATCCCAGGCCTAGTGGAGTCCGAGCTGGCGTTGGGTCCCTCACTGTGCAGCCCTGGCAAGGAGCAGCGCTTCCTGACTCATGTGTAGGGAGGGAGTGCCTGTGCCCACCCGAGGGCTGTAGCAGGGCTGAGAAGGAGGGGAGAAACGAGCCCCAGTGCTCAGCGCGGTGCCTGGCGCCTGGCTGGGCACTCCTGCTCTTGGCAGGGCCCTAGGATGCAAGAACTGGAATGGAAACTGCTGGTGAGAAACACCCTGAGGGGGCTCCCCTGTCATGTAGGGCCCAGATGACCTGCAAGTCTGTACCTTAAAGATGCCAGCGATGGAGAGGGTGAGGCTGGAGGTCCGGGAGACCAGGAGGAACTCAGAGAAGCCCAAACCAAAGGCGAGAATCCCTCCAAGGAAGAGGCTCCCAAGGACCCGCAGGAGCAGCCCCGCGTCCTGGAAACGGAAGATTTTCTCAGAGGTGGACAAGTGGAGACCTAAAAGCAACGGGAGAGAGAGCGGGAGGCCAGGTCCTGGGTGCCCTGGCAGGTCTACCTGTCAGCCAGACCGATGTGCCACTGGTGCTGTGAGTACTTCTGCTGGCTGGCTGAGACCCAGAGAAAAAGACCGGAGGCATAAAATAATCCCACGAGATTCTTGAGGCATGGGGAAGCTGGGGAAGCAGTGATGGCTATCAGACAGCCCCAGGCAGCACAAGCCAGTGACCCTAACAGGGAGCCCCGGGCTAAAGTGGAGGTGCTAGCACAGGAAATCGGGAGAGCCCTCCCCTTAAGGAGAGGAGCCGCCTACCAGTCAGGGTAAGGTGGGGGCTGACACAGGGCTCCCTGTGGCCCCTGCAGCTGTGCTAACTAATGAACCAGGGGTAGCCGGGCAGCCTGTCAAGTGAAGCCTGACAATGCCCTGGCCACTGGGGGTGTCCCTTGGGCTAAGTGTCAGCCAGGCCACCCACAAACAAGGGCAAAACTCTATCCTTACAAACATTGGTTTTAATTTAGGACTTGCTATTATAAAGCTGTAAGACTTGGGAAAAGATGGCCAGTTTCTGGACCTCAGTTTCTCTACTGGAAAATGGAAGGACTGGGCCCAGACTGGTGCTTGAGCAAGAAAAAAAATGTGATCACCAGTTCCCAAAGAGAAAACACACACAGGCGTGTAAATCCACGACCCTGGCCCTTGCTCTAGGCACATGTCCCGCTTTGCCTTGACTTTTGGGGATCCTGGCTCCTCGGTGCTGCCTGCAGGAGGCTGGCTCCCCTGGGTCCCTGCCAGCAGGAGGGCTCCCATGGGGCACAAGCAGGGTACAGGCCAGTCCTAACTAGGCAGGTACCCGGGGTGGCTGGAAGCTGGATGGCACGAGGAGAGTCTTGGAGGGAGGCACTGAAGAATGCAGAGGGACAGACCCCCAGGCAAAGCCTCCCGATGTAGGACATCTTGTTTGGTGCTGGGCTCAGCAGTACTGCAGAGGTGCCGGCAAATTGAAGGGAATTCGGGAAGAGCAACATAAGTAATGAAGGCGCTTGGGGGATTAATTTACCAGAAAAGATTAAAGGAGCTAAATCCATGCAGCTTTGCTAAGTGACGACTACCAGGGGCTTTCGGATGAGGGTTTGCAGAGATGGGGACGCTGTAAACACCCTGGGAGGGAGGGGCGTGTGGCGTTGGTACAGGGGCATAATAAAGGAATGGGGAGAGATTTTTAAAAGGAGGAAAAAAAAGCGAGGCTCTGAGCAGAAGTTTCCTGGACAACGGGGCTGAGGAATAATTTTCTCAGGGAGGCTTGAGACGCTTCACTGCTTGAAACTTAAATGGATGTGGGACAGAATTTTCTGTAATGACCCTGAGGACAGATGGGACTCTGGGCAGAGGGATAAACAGAGAGGACAAAGACTAATCCCAGAGCATTGGAGGAAGAAGGTGGCGCTGCCTCTCCCAGACTGTGCTGCTCTGGGCCTTTCCTCTCCTCTCCGGCCTCTGCAAGCCTCAGTGGGGGGCACAATTGCTCAGCTCTGGCCCCCAGCCCTCGTCTCTGGACGCCCACGCTCCTGCATATGCCCAGTTATGCGCCTGGACGTGGTCAGCAGAGCCCCTGGCTGAGCCTCCTGTGGCTGCTTCCCCGACGGCCTGTTCCCACTGGCCCGCCAGATCCCATCCTCTGTTCATGGTCTGGGAAGCCTGACTCCACCACCCGGAAGCAATCCCCACCTGCCTGCTCCTTCCCTAAGGCAGCACACCAAGTGGTTAGAGTCTGGACTCTGGAGCCAGGCCGCTGGACCCAAGTTCTGGCTCATTTCTGAGCTGTGGGCCTGCGGGCCCATGATCTGAACTCCTCTGTGCCCATTTCTTCACCTGGGGATGACAGTACTGCCACAGTCTTTGAGGGGACCAAGCTCATAATAGCTCAGCATACCATACCTAGGGCTCTGTGCAGTCGCCACCATCACCCCATTATTTCATACATGCCTTCCACATAGCATCTATCAAGCTAGATTCTGCTCATCTTGTTTAGGTACCTGTCCACCCCCAAAACACATGCTGCTGCCGGGGAAGGGGAGGACGGCACCTCTGACCTCAGTAACCTCTGCGGCTGCCACCATGCTGGCTCGGAGCAGGGACTGGGGATCTGTGGCACTGAGGCGCCCCGAGGCAGGTCACCCAACGTACCTTCAAACACAGCAAAGAGAGGGAAGAGCCCCAGGAACATGAGTGGCTGCAGGTGGAACATGGTGTCGATGGGGTTCTGGAGGCCTGTGGGATGGGAGACGGGAGCCGTCAGGTCCTGCCTGAGGTCGGTGAGGGGGCGTCCCCTCCACCCTGCCTGGGCCCGGGCGCCCCTCACCGAGCTCAGCCTTCTGCAGGAGCATCTGGGTGAGGGTCCAGCGGATGCCACCGATGAAGGAGGCCCCCAGCACCAGGGCAAAGCCCTCCAGGTTGAACTGCGTGGACTTGTAGGTAAACATGAAGAGGCCCCCGGCGATGAGGAGGACCACCAGGACCAGGGCCGCACGCTAGTTGGATGGGGAGCAGTGGAAGAGCTCAGCGCGCTTGAGGGTCAAGCCCATCACAGCTGGAGTTTGGCAGTCAGCAGCCACCATGGCTGCCCTTGGGCAAGAACCCACCCCCGACTCTTCCTGCTCCAGGGGGTTGTGGACAGTCCTCGCCCGCTGATGCCCTCACGGCAGACAATCAGCTGGGAAGTCCCCAGCATCCTCGCTGGCTCCAAAACACCGAGTGCTTCCCGCCAGCTGTCCTGGGCCCCTGAGAGCGGCCCTGCCCTCTTTCCAGACCTACAAAGCTGCTGCCTCGCACCCCAGGATGCTGCTGCGCCCTTCCCCCTGGGCTATCCCTCTGCCATGCCAGTTTCTAACAGTCTATTGTCCCTATGTCTAGTTTTCACCACCTGGACTAGCCTGGGCCTGTCTCCTGTGACACAGAGTGACAAGCCTCTGCTTGGATCCCGTTTTTTTCTTTCCTCTTAGCATCTATGGGAAGTAGGAGGGACAAACAGAGGCTGGGGCCTCACCAGCTCCTCCAGCTTGAAGATCAGAGAGAAGATCAGGATGAAGAGGACAGCTGAGGATTTGGTCATTGTGTACCTGGAAGCAAAAGTTACAATGCACTGCTGCGGCCCGGGCTCAGCCCCACCACCGCGGAGCCCGCCACCAAGAAAGGGCATACTGAGTGGCTAGAAAAGGAATGGGGGCAGGGGACCCTGACTTCCCTGAGAGCAACTGGGCACAGAGACAGCAGGGCAACCGGGACAGAAGGCCAAAGCTGCTCCCTGAGTCACCCGGGCTGATAACGTTCCTTTAATCAGAAGAGATCTCTGGCTCAGAAGCTTCTGTTTACTACGGGGAGGAGAGGCTGCAGGCCTGACACTGAGCTTGCTGAGTCCTATTCATATTTTAGTTTTTCTTCCGTTCATTATAGAGCACGTGTCAGAGAGTGGGAGACACAGGAAGGGGGAGGAGGGAAGTAGCACCCTCCACAGAGCACCCCACGCCATGAGCCCTCCTCCAGCCCTCCAGGTCACCAGGATCCTGGGCATGCACACATGCACTCGACACGTTTCAGGCCAACCAGGCCGGGGATGCGAACCACAGTGGGCCCGTGGCTTCCAGCTCTGCAGCCCCGTCATTTACCGATTGCACCACAAGCTGGGCCGAGGGTCCTATTCTGTACCTAGCCCTCGGAAGAGGTCAGGGTGAGGAAGGAAGATGAGGGAGAGGGCAGGACTGGGTGCTCAGGTACAAAGTGTCAGAGAGAAGGCGCAGCTGCGAGCCCTCCATGCCTGCCAGGGCCAAGGTGGTGTGTGCTGCCACTGTCCCCGTGTCCCTCTGTGCTGTGCCTCCTGCTCTCCCCTGCATGGATCCCAGCTGTTCTGTGCAGGTCCCCTGGCTTCCCCATGCTGTCTGGCATCCCTGCTGCCTGGGCTTACGGAAAAGGCTGGCGACTTCCTGGAGAGCTGCTGGGTGCCAGCGAGGAGCTGAGAGAGCAAGGGCTGGTCCCAGAGAGTGCGGAGTGGCAGGCCCGTTGGCCGCGTGCGCAGACAGCCAGCTGGACAGACAGAGCTCGAGCCCGAGGGAGGTGGCAGGGAGAGGCTGGTACTCACAGCGAGACGGTGATGTAGAGGAAGCTCCAGTTGGACAAGCCCACGTCAAGTGCCGTTGCTAGTGCTGCAGAGACGAGGGCACCCACCATGGCGTGGGCACGTCCACGCTCAGCCAGGGTGGCCAGTGTGGCAGTGCCCCCTGCTCTGCCTTGGCCCCCTCTCTGGGGCTTCAGACCATCTTTGACATCCAGCTAAAGGGCTAGTGCCTGCTCACAGGGAGTCTGCTCCGGCCCTGGCTCTGACTGGCTGTGGTCTCTTTGTTCCCTGGCTAAACATTTTGAATATCCCCCTAAAGGGGCCATTAATCTGCCCCTGCCAGCTCCCCACTGAAACCCTCCTCCCTGAGGGAGAAGCACAGCCTCTGTACAGAGGGCGGGGCCCGCAGGACCCACTTCCTCTCCTTGGGGCAAGTTCTCAGCACCCTGACACTCTCAGTTCCCAGCAGGCCTCCCCACACTGCCAGCCACATAGGACAGGGACGGGGAGGCTCCACCGCCATGAGGACACCCCGTTCTTGGGCCCCGCCCAGGGCACGAACCTGTGGGAGCCACTCTCCTGAGGTAGTCGGTCCAGCTCAGCACCACGCGGGCCCTGTGGCTGGAGCACTGCACCAGCGCCCTGGACAGCGCGGAGAAGAGGAAGATGACGGCCAGGTGCAGCATCGTCATGAAGAGGGGGAAGTGGAAGCTCTGGAGGGCCCAAAGCAGACACTGGGTCAGAGGGCCTGGCCCAGGGGCAGCGGGCTGCTGGGTGGGCGTGCGGAGGGGTCTCAGCTACACCACACTCACTTGAATGAGAAACTGAGTCCCAGCTCTGGAGGGCACACAGACCAGGCAGCCCGGGGTTCAATCCTCGCACAGTGCTGCCAACATGCCGGCCAGCGCCCTGTCAGCCCCCCACGGCCTACACCCAGGGAATGACGGACACTTTGAACCTTGAACCATGTCTCTGCCGGGTGGGAAATGGCTGCTGCCTGGAGCCCCCAACGTTCCCCAGCCACCCCGAGTGTCTCTCCTTCTCCCCTCATCCAAACAGTCACGGAGAAGCCCCAGCATGCACGCTCCCCAGCCCTGGGCCGTCCCAGCTGGACTGCCTTCCCACGCAGCACCTGGCCTTGAGCAATGGCCACGGTGGCGCCCCGGCCCTGAGTTACCTTGGTCAGCCATTTGTTGTAGAAGGTGATGCCGATGGAGAAGCAGTAGTAGAGGAGGACCAGCCCCACGGTCAGCACCGCCTTCCACACAAAGGCCACGTCCAGGGCCCACCTCCCCATCCGCGGGGCTGACACCGGCTCCTGTCGGCAGGCAGGTACCTCTCTTGAAGACACCGTGAAAGAGCTGGGCCAGCCACGACTTTCAACAAGAAGGGCTCTGGGCTAGAGGAGTCCTCTTCGCTGCCATGATTCAGAATGGTCAGGGAAGTCACTGGCAGAACCCTCACCTAAGTGGCTGGTGGCCCAAGCTGCCCCTCGCCATGGCTGCCCGGATGTAGGGCTCACAGGTGTCCAGTTTGCTGGTAAAAAAGAACAAGGCAGCTCTGGTGACCTGGGCAGAGACCATGCCTCTGCAGCCACAGGCACCAGCGATGGCTCCTGAGGGCCTGCCCTGGGCGCCCCAGGCCCAGCACCCAGGGATCATGCTGAGCACAGACTGGCGAGAGGGAGCCCATACACGGTGGAGGCAGTCAGAGCCTCATCAGGCTGCTCTCCATGAGGGTCACCAGAGCAACCCTTTAACAATGTAAACCTGGGACCAGCAGATGGCATAGTGGTTACGTGATTACGTGGCTGGACTTCCACCTGGCCATCGGTGGTTCAAGTCTCAGACCTGGTGGCTTCAAACTCACGCTGGGTGCATGTGCATGCATGCCCAAGACCCCGGGAGGAGAATGGAGGAGAGAGGACTGTGGTATGGCTGTCCCCCTGGGGAATAATTTCTCTCTGTGTGGCGCACGCTCCATATAGCCAAATAAAGATGTCACCGCTTCACCGCTTACATCCTTAGCAGTGGTGCATTTAGTTCCCAGGCACAGCAGGCATTCGAGTTGCCTGGACCCTGTCCTTCCTACTGACCCTCAGCTCCTGGTGCTCCTCGGGGGCCCTCTGACAGGTCCCCCTGAGACACAGCTGGCTCTCAGGCTATCCTTCCCTGCCCCGCGCAGGGCGAGATTTGAGTGGCGTCTGCATCTCCTGTCCAGCTGTGAGCTCCAGGAGGGCAGGGACCAGCGTGTCCATGCTGGCAGTATGCACACCTGGGTCCCATGAGTGTCTGACTGGGTCTGACGACTCAATGACAGTGTGCACATGATTTTCAAGGGACTGGTCTGCTCCTGAGGAGTTAAAAACGGACCAGGAAACTGACACCTTTCTGTCCCAGCCTCCATAGCTACTCCCACGATGCTGTGCTTGCCTTGGGTCCTGCCACACTATACTTCCCCCTGCCTCCCCGTTAATCCAACCAACCCTGTGAGCACCTGGAATGGCCGGGTGCAGGGAGACGGAGGGGCCCTCTGTGCCCGAAGGGTGTAGGTTCCAGCTTTATCTGTGTGTCTGCTCCTCAACACCTCCTCCTTTGAGAGGCCACCTCCCTTTTGAAGCCTTCCTAGAACATCTGACCAGACACACTCCTAACCCCTCAACAGAAAGGCGGGTATCTCCATTCTGTTCTGTACTCTGGAACTGGGTCATCCTCTGCCCTTCTTGGAGGCAAATCAGATGGCCTGAGGCTTTGCCCTAGGGGCTCCCTAGGACTGTGGTTCTTTTCAGAGAGCTCTGGAAATCTGTGGTGGTGTTTGGGCTGGGGGTGCTCCTGGCATTCAGTGAGCAAGGTCATCGAAGGGGTGACATTCACACAGGTGACAGTGCAGCTTCTACTGACCTGGAACCTAACGGTGCCACTAGTAACACCATGCCGTTTTCACGGTCCTACCCTGCACTGACATGGCCAAGAACACATTACCACGTACACTAAGGAGAGGCTAAGCGCTTCTTCACAAAGCAATACCAAGAGTTCCCATTCTGGAAAAGTCACATTGTCTACAGCGACCGCATGCCTGGTTCGTGAGCGGCCGACAGGGCCTGACCAGTCTGCGTTGTGGCTTTCACGTCCCCAGAGGTTCCGCAGAGGGCAGGAAACATGGGCTGCTTCCCCGTGACTTCCAGTATCACTGTGCTGGGGACTTACACATTGAAACACGTTCTATTCTGTCACTCGCTCTCTTCGTAATATAGTTACAGCGACCTGGGTTTGAAAAAAGCGTAGGCAGTTTCTGTTAACCACGAGTTTCATTTCATGATCATAAATGGGGCAGTTACAAAATATCTGTTATTCTTGGGGGTGTACTGAATCCAGTGAGCTGAGAGCCACAGTCTACCTGACCTTACGCACTATCATTCCTTGAAACACCTCTTGTAGGGTGACATTTCCCGCATGCTCCCCTGCTCTGACTCCCTGGGAACCCGGAAAACTGGTTGCCGGTGGACATCTAAGATGAGGCATCTCACACCTGGCGTGTCCAAAACAGACTCGTTTTCTATGTCCTCCCCATCTCGTCCAAGCCCACTCTTCTCCCTGCTTCACAGCACAGCAAGCAGCACCTCGCTCTCCTAGCTGCTCAGGACAAAGCCTTGTTCTCAGCCTTGCTTCCTCTTTCCTTCTGCCCACGTTCGACCAACAAACACCATCAGCTCTATTTTCAAAAAAATACGCTCCACCTCCCGAACTCCACCGCTACCCCCATCCTCTCCCGAAACAGTGCAGCAGGCTCCCACACGGTCCTCTCTGCCCTCCTGTCACCCCGCAGGCAGGTGCCTGCTCACAGCAAGACAGCGGGGCACATGGTATCAGGCCTACGTTGAACAGACCGTTAGGCTCAGGCTCTTCCCTCTCCACCAGGGGGTCTGGACCTTGGTGCTGCTGATGCCCAGGTCTGAACAAGTCTCCGTGGGAGGCCTGTCCTGCACTGCGGGGTGTGTGGCAGCACCCCTGGCCACCACCTCCTACATGCCTGGAGCATCCTTCCCCACCTCACCCCAAGTTGTGACAACTAAAAAGGCCTACAGACATTGCCAGATGGTGCCTGGGAATCAAAAGTGCTCCTGTTAAGAACCACTGCTTGGGACCAGCAGATGGTGGAATGGTTACGTCACTGGACTCCCACGTAGTCGACTGCGGTTTGAGACCTGGACCCAGTGACTTAGAACTCACACTGGGCACATGTGCATACACGCTCAAAATCCAGAGAGGAGAACGGAGAAGGGATTGCAGCATGGCCATTCCCCCTGGGGCAGGGGTGATATCTCGCTTTCTATCTGCCTTTCTGGTGAGCACACACTCCCTATAGCAAAAACCAAGATCCTGAGAGAATGAAGAAGGGATTGCAGTGTGGCCAACTCCACTGGGGGGTGATTTCTTGTTTTCTGTCTCTCTCTTTCCGGCCAGTGCACACACCCTGTAGCAAAAACCTCTCCAAAAAGAAAGAAAGAAAACCACTGCTTACCCTACGAAGGCCCTCCCAGGGCATGCTAGCACCAAGACGGCTTTCTTTCTAGCACTCTCCTCCCACGGGTCTTCCAGGAGCTTCCCAGCCATGGTCAACTGCTCGCCTTTCTGTGAGTCAACCTCTTGTCCCTCTGATTTTCGCTGCAGTTTCTCCTCCAACGCTGCCAGGCCTTCCACCTCTGTTCGAGTCCTGACCTTCCTTCACAGACCTGGCCCGGGTCCCACTCCAGGAAGCCCTGTGCCTCCAAACGAGCAGCGCTCACGTCTCACTGGCATCCACAGACCACAGAGCCAGACCTAACTAGGAGGCCCCTAGGAAATCAGCCACTCAGTCCACGTGTACCGATTAAGCACCCACATATGCCCTGGAAATTCAGACACGAAACTGCTAAGGTCCCTACTTCCATTTCAGCGTAAGGGAAATCAGGCTTCAAGGGGCACAAGCTCCTTTGCAAAGCTCACTTGCCTGGCATGAATTCCACATCCTGCCTCACTTTCCCCAGGGAGCAGGAGCCACTTCGGGAGATGGCGGGGGCACTGCTGTAGCTCCTGGCTCCCCTCAGCGGCCCCAGCTGTGACGTGAGGTAGCTAGCTTAGTGCTTACACCTTGTGCTTTGGAATCAGAGACCTGGGATCAATCCTGGCGTCTCTACCTACCCTCATGTGATCCTACATTACTTGACCTTTGGATTCAGTTTCTCCAGCTGTAACCAGGAACAAGACCGTCTGCCTCCTGGGGGAGGGGAGCCAATGGCATCAGGTGGGAGGGCCTTCCTCCCCTCCTGGTCCCCTTAAGGCAAAACTTCTCCGGGGCTCCTGGCACTGCCAGCCCCACTCCCTCACCTCCAGCGCTCACCATGCCCTCCTCCGTAGCCCCTTTAAGGGCCAAGTCCCTACTCTCATCTCATACAACTGCCCAGGTCCTTCTGCAAACACCTGCTCTGGGATGCCAGACCTCCTGCTTTGCCTCCAGTTTCTCTGGACCCCTTCCTGCTTGCACCTCCTCTTCAACTCAGCCTGTCAAGCCTGGGAGCCTGAGGGCTGATCCCTGGCTTCTCTTCTATACCTTCACTCTTGTCTAAGTAACTTCATTCCACCCAACTGACTTGCCAACGATTTCTATGTTGTCCACCTGAGCCCTAACCTTTTCCCTGAGTTCCAGGAGAGTGGACTGAAGGGCCTCCTCCGGGACTCCATTCACGACGATGGCACTTAAGATGCCCTAAGAAGATTTACTATTCCTCAAGCCCCCAACCCATTCCAAAGTCCTTTAGTAAATGTCAGCATAACAGACGAGGTTCCTTGAGCCAAAGCCCAAACCAATGATGACCTCCCTCTCTCCCTGTCCCTCAGACGTGCCCTGTGAGTTGCACCTGCAATACGTCCCTCTACCCGGCTTCCTTCCTCACCTCTACTCCCCCGCCCCAGCCTAAGCTATGACAACCATCTGTCACCTACTGACCACAGCTGGTCTCCTAGCTGTCGTTGCCTCTACCGGCTGCACAGCCTGGAGTCCACAGAGCACCTGGAGGCGGCTCGGGCAGGGGAAGCAGACGCGTCGCCGCAGGGCTAATCCCACGACTGGCCTGTGCGACCCCGTTCTCCTCCCACTGCCGAGCACCCCACCGGTGGCCGCCTCCACTCGTCAAACACACCAAGTGTGTCCTTGGCGCCTGCGACTCTCTCCCGCACACCCCTGCTTGGCTGAGTACCTGCCCCGAGACCCCCACCCCATCCCCGTGGCACTTCCTACCCTCTGACGTTTCCGTGTTTGCCCACGTGTTCACCCCCACCCCCTCCCCCGGGACGCGGGCAGGGCAGGTTCCCTCCTGGGGACGTGCCCAGCAGTCGCAGGTGCTCAGGAAACGTCAGGTGAACTGGCGCGGGGCAGGCGAGCCCAAGGAGGGCGCCCTGAGTCCTCTGCCCCCTCCACGGCTGGGGGAAGTGAGGCCTGCGAAGTGGCAGGAGCACGGCCGTGGCCCACGTCGTCCCGCTCCCCGGCTCCAGCCCCGGAGCCCCCTCCCCGTGCGCCCCGGCAGCGGGCGGGACAGGCCGCCAGGCGCCCACTCACCTCCGCCCGCGGAGCTCCGGGCCGGGAACCTCCTGCCGGAAGTGCGAGGCCGGGCGCGGTCGGCGCTTCGCGAGAGGGGAGGGAACTTCCGCCGGAAGTCGCTGAAGGCTGGGGGCGGGGTGCCCGCAGTGTGGCGTCTTGCTCGCACTTCCTCCCGGACTTAGGGTCGCTCCGTCTAGGAGGCCCGTCTAGGCCAGCGCCGAGCACTGCGGGTGTAGCCTTTGATGGCGTCTCTACTGCGCACAGGCCGGTGCTTCCTTGGGAGCCCCAGGGCCCGCAGGTGTTCCGTACACAGCGAGTACCCCCCCACCCCGAAAAAGAAAAGATCACTTATTCACTTTTAACAAATCACATTCCATCGTTAAGTGCTGGGCAACCGTGGAAAGAACCATGAAGATCACTCTCTCATGGGCTTTTTCTCCTGGGAGCTCCAGCCAGCTGGGAGTGATTTCAGGAGCATTCTTTCTAAGACCCAGAGGAAATAACCATGTATTTGCCTGAAACTTTGCAAGAATGATCTCAACGTCAATAGTGGGGGAGAGCATCTCCGACAAGAAATAGAGTGCTAGAGGAAGGGGTGCAGAAGTGCCTGCCCTCCTTGGTGCCCAGGTTCTTTATGCTATGGTAGTAAAGTAGTCAAGGGGCAGGTGCAGTGGTCCTGGAGAGTCCGATTTTCTTCATCCTGCAGGATGGAGTGAAAGGGGACAGCACGTGGACAGGGAGAACTGTTAGGCCAGGGCAGGCAAGGGTTGCACGCTGAGGGCGGCTAGTTTTGTGCCTTTTGTCCCCTTCCTCTAGCTTCCTCCTGGGCGCTCTGGCACCAAGACTGGCTGCTAACGTGGATTCTTGCAAGTGACTCAGCTGGGCTCCCTGGCCCCTCTGAACAGAAGGCTCAAGGCCAGACTGTAGGCAGGGCTTTGTGCAAACTGCTGCTGCTGCCGCCAGCTGGCATCGGGCAGGCATCAGTTCATTCAGTGCTTACCAGGCACCTACAATGGTACCCATGGCAGCCCAAGGTCCTGGCTGTATTCAGTCCTCAGGGCCTGTTCTGCATGCACTTTCTATGCCTTTTGAAAGAGCTTGTCCTCGCCCCTTCTCTCTCTCAGGAGAGAGTAAGTGTCTATTTGTATCACCGCCCTCATTCAAGCTACCAAGGCTGAGGTTTGGAGCAACAGTCTAAAACACCAGCTGGGAGGCTGGGCACTAAGCACAGGAAACATGCAGGGCAAAGAACGTGTCTTCTTTGTAAGGCACGAGTCTTTGCGCTGTTCCCTGGCTGTGTCCCTGGCAGGGAGAAGAGGGAGGACGTGTTCGTGGGAGTGTATAGTATGCCTTTCCCTGCAGAAAACACTTTGTCCCAGTGCAACAATCTGAGCGAGCATCCCTAACCAGCAGGTAGGGGTGTGTGTGTGTGTGCGCACGTGCGCACGCATGGGCACATGAATGCGTGTGTGTGGTGGAAGTAGGGAGATGAGGAGGAGGAAGGGGCTCTTGGAAGGGGCTTGAGGCTCCAGCTGGAGCTCTCCAGAGTGAGTTTCCCAGGCACACTGAAATGAAGGCTTGCCAAGGTGAAGTCTCCACGTTGGGCAGAGAAACAGCTGTTAAGAGGAACCAGTTTGTACATGAAAGAGTATTTATTGAAAACATGGTTACCGACAGGAAGCTCCTGGCTGCTCTCTGGTTTATAATCTTGGCTCACAAATGGAAGTGCTACTTTTCCCCTCAGTTTTATTTTCCCCCAAATGTTTCATCCTCAGATAGGTAGATCTTATATAAATATATATACATGTCTGTATAAGTATGGCCTATAGTAAAGAAAATAGATAGTACACTCTTCGTTGGGTAGTTCCTACCATGCCAGGCTACCTATACCGAATGCCGCTGTGTTACCGTATGGTGGAGAAGAGAGGCTGTGTCCGTGGTTTACGAGTGCTGCAGCACCAGGGAAGCCCGACTGGCACAGCTGTGGCCTCAGCGGGCCTCAGCCAGCTCCCTGAAATGGCCAATGCAGATACCACGACACTACGGAGGAGAGGAAGGGAAGGCAAACTTCTTGGGGTCTGGCAGGCCAAAGGAAAATGAAGAGGTGGGGTTGCAATTCAGATTAGGCGGCCGAATCTTCCCGAGGAAGGAAAAGAGAAACGTGGAAGAAGGGGGTGGATCTGGTGACCTCACCACAGTCTAGGCCCAGGGTATCCCTGCAACGTTCCTGGAGACTAAGAGTAAGACTTAGCCTAGCCCAGAGGCCTTGACTGCCAGGATGAGACTGAGAGCTGGGGGGAGCAATTTCCATCTGCCCTGTACCTGCATGGGCAAGAGAGGTCTGGGGCTCTGGAGACCAGAGAGGTTAGGGCCAGACCTCAGAAGCAGCAGCATCTTGGCACCAATGAGGCTGGAGTGAGCCTTCCCGAAGAAGACAAAAGCAAAGGCCCAAGGCTGCCCTTAGATCTGAAATGCAGGCCTGGTCACCCAGACACTGTCACTCCTGGCTCTCAGCATGCTCAGTGCATCTGTCCTCTGCTCAGCCTTTCCTGGGCCAGCTCTCAATCCTCAGGGACCCAGCTGACAGCAGGATCGGGAAGAAGAGTGAGCAGTTGTTACTAAGACAGTTCAGGAAGCAGTTCCTTGGGCTGGAAGGCGAGGGCATCTGCTGTTCACCCCTCAAGGCCCGAGTCCAGGCTGCACGGCGATGGGGAGGATGGAGCACCCTGCCGTCATGACTCCTGTGGACAGGAACCGAGAAGGGAAGCTCTGGGCAGTCTGAGGTGGGGCTGAGGAATGGCTGGCATTTACTGGCCACCACGATGGACTCGAGATTCTGTACAAGCAAAAGACAAGGCACCAGACTGTGAGTGTCCTCCAGGGCCCTACCCCTCCTGGGTACTGAGGTCCCGGCTCGCTCAGCCGTAGTGGTAGACGAAGTCGTAACTGCTGGGCTCCTTGGGGACTGGTGGCGGGGCCTCGGGAATCTGGACGTTCTCCAGGTCGAGGAGCCGCAGCTTCATTTCCATGCTCAGCAGGGTGTCCAGGTCACTCTTGGTCAGCTCACTGGACATGTCCTTCCCCAGGAGGGCGCTGAGGCCATCGATCCAGATGCAGTACTGGGGGCAGGGGGGGGGGCGCAAGTGGCACAATGTCACATGGTGCACTCTGGTCAGCAGGACAGCCTGCCGAGGTTCCCCCACCCCACTTTTTTAGGAGAGATTTTTGCTATAGGGCGTGTGTGCTCACCAGAGAGACAAAGAGACAGAAAGTGAGCCATCACCCCCAGGGGGAATGGTCATGCCACAGTCCCTCCTCCTCCATTCTCCTCTTATGATCTTGGACACACATGTGCACATGCCCAGCTTGAGTTTCAAGCCACTGAGTCTGGGATTTGAACTACAGTCAACTATGTGGGAGTCCAGTGACATAAGCATTACGCCATCTGCTGGTCCCAAGGTCCCTTTTTTGACAGGCCTCACAACAGTCCCCACTGGCACTATTCAATAAAGGCAAAACTTATCTGGAAAAATGTCAAAGAGACACTAAGAGGTGACTGCTCACCGTCTTAAAAGATTTTCTGGTTTTTATGAGAGGGCTTACATTACAACTCCTTAAAATAGGGGCCAGCAGATGGTATGGTGGTTAAGTGCTAGACTCCCATATGGTCAACCATGGTTTGAGCCCTAGACTCAGCAGCTTGAAAAATCACACCAGGCACATGTATGTGCATACCCAAAATCCCTAGAGAAAAATGGAGAAGGGATTATAAGTGTGGCCATTCCCCCTGGAGGGATTTCTCACTTCCCCCCTTTGTCTCTGTCTCTCTCTGGCAAGCATATATGCCCTAGGACCAAAAAAAAAAAAAAAAAGAAAAAAAGAAAAAAAAACTCCTTAAAATGATATGAAACATGACCCCAAAATGAAATGGATATAACGGAATGAGATCTGAATACTGAGGCATCACTTGCCTGGAACTGCCCCCCAAATGAGAAATGTTGGAGGGCTACAGAAGTGAAAGAAGCAGGACACAAAAAGGAATCACTATAAGATTTCAATTTTTTTTCCAAAAAGATAAATAAGAAAAAAGCCCAGTCAGTAAATGTTAAAAAAATAAGTACTACAGACCGTGAACTAGAGGGTATCAGACTCAGGGAACAGAGAGCTCTCCTCCACCCCGACCCGCCTCCTTTGTCCTGCACCTGCTCCTTTTCCACGTCTTTGCTCACCTGGCTCTCCAGCTGCTCGTTCTCTGTTTCCTCCCCACAAACTCCACCTGCAGCTCAGGACCTGCCCAGGTCTCTCCTCTCCCAGAAGCCCCACCTCTTGTTCCCACGGGCAGCTCTCTGAGGTCACCAGAGGGTCTCAACTGCAGTCACTTCATAATCTAGTACCTTTGCTGCTACAGACACAAATGTGAGCCCCATGTCAGAAGAACCCCGATCCATCTGGCTTCACAGCCCAGCTAGACCCAGTAGAGCATGTGACCAGGAGCCCCAAGGAGGGAGGTTCTGTCATGCTCCCTTGGGTAGATGGCCGTGGAGAAACGAGAGGGGAGAATTTTCCTAGTCCCAGGCGAGTAAGTCAGCTCTAGTTGGCCCTGCCTTTCTAGTGCAGTGTGGTGGAGAGCCCAGCTCGGGGGAAAGGCTGGCAGCAAGGCAGAGCCTCAGCGCCCAGCGGCCTGCATGGTATGCTTTATCCTCTAGAGGGACGTTTCCGGTCTGCCCACCCCTTTCCTCCAGCTAGTCACAGAGAGGGCTCTGCTGTCCAGTGCCACCTGCTCACCTCATACTTATTAGGTGCGATGAAGTTTAGGGTCTCGTCAGGGTCATACAGGATGGAGAAGGCCAATTCCAGCACCTCCTGAAGGAGAAAGCATTCAGATATTTAGAGCAACCCAATGGCTTGGGCTCTGCATGCCGAGATCCTGGTCAAAGTCACAGCAACTTGGCACCACTGCCGACGTGTCAATCAAGGTGATGTCGTCAAGGTGCTTAAGTATGTACACAGGTGTGGCTGGAGAGAAGCCCCACTGACCCTTGGCCCACCACCCTGCCCAAGTCAGCCCTGAGATGTGGTGACTTTGAATTTGTTTTTCTTTCATTTATTTGCCAGAGGGCACATGTACTTACCAGAGAGAGAAAAGGGGAAAGCACCCCCCAATGGGGCATGGTTATACTACAATCCCTTCCCCTCCATTTTTCCATACTGTTGGGATTTTGGGGGGCATGCATGCACATGTGCCCAGTATGGTTTTCAAACTGCTGAGGTTTGCAATTGGGATTTGAACCTCATGGTTGGTATGTGGGATCCAGCTCCTTTAACTGCTAGACCACGGAGCTGACCTCAATGTGGTGATACGTTTGAGATTGGAGAAAAGTCATTTTCAACACTCAGAACCCTTGCATGTCAGAGTCCATGACTACACTTACTCTAAAATTTCTTATATATTACCAAGATGGCTGACTTCCTCTTTTGATCCATGCTGTAATTGGCACAGGAAGAAACAAATTGGGGGCAAAGGACAATCTGAGAATCAACAAAATAACTGTAATAGAGCGAGACAAATACAATGTGCTTAAATGCATGAGTTCATAAGAATACTAAAAAAGGACAAAAGACACATACAAAATTGGTCATTGTGTTTGGACCAGCAGATGGTGTAATGTTTATGACACTGGACTCCCATGTAGCTGACCGTGGTTCAAGTCCTGAACCCAGCGATTTAATCTCACGCCAGGTGCATGTGTGTGCATGCCCAAGATCCTGGGAGGAGAATGGAGGAGAAGGGATTGTGGTGTGGCCATCCCTTCTGGGGTGGAGGATTTCTTGCTTTCTGTCTCTCAGTCTCTCTGTGTTTCTCTGACGAGTGCACGTGCCCTATAGCAAAAAACTTTCTTAGGAAAAAATTGGTCATTGTGGGTTGATACTGGGGAACCAACTTAGTGTTTTTTTTTTTCTTTTTTTGGAGAGGTTTTTTTTTGCTATAGGGCGCGTGCGCTCACCAGAAAGACAGAGAGAGACAAAGAGGGAGGAAGCGAGAAAGCACCCCCCAGGGGGATGGTCACACCACAATCCCTTCTCCTCCATTCTCCTCTCAGGATCTTGGGCACACACGCACACTCGCCTGGCGTGAGTTTAAGCCGCTGAATCCGGGACTCGAACCGCAGTTGACTACTGGGAGTTCAGCGACATAGCCATTACGCTAATTGCTGGTTCCCCCAACTCACTGTTTTAAAAGTAAGTACATAAAAGAAGCAGCTGGCATTGTTCCTCCTTTCTCAGATAAACTGTACTTACTATTGGGAACCTACAGTAGAGAAGGGCAAGATTCTTTTCAGGGAAGTAGTTCAGCTAACAAAAAAAGGAATGACTGCTTTGGAATATGACTAGCTTGTAAACCCTGATTTACTAATGGAATATGGCACTGATACCAACAGTCTGCTAACATCACAAAAAGACAGACAGACAGACATAATGTGCCTCTCGATAGAACATAACACCATCTGTGATGCAGTCTTGCAGGAAAAAGTCAAACCTAAACCAAATCAAACCTCTAGATCCCTCTACCAATTTACAGATCTGGGACAGAGGCACAAGTTAAACTACACCACAGGGAGACAATCAGCAAAATTCAGATGCGGGGAAACTACCAAACAAGCAACCTCATTTCTTCACCTAATAAACTTCTAAGAAAAAAAAAAAAAAAAGAAAGAGGAAAAACTTATAAGAAACTTAAAAGACTAATAATCACAACATATAGACCTGATTTAGAGTCTGACCACACAAGATGGGAATGAAAGTGTGTATATGTATATACAACTGAACATTTATATTTTTTATTATTTTCTTATATCACCAGAGGGTGCATGAACCAGCAGAGAGGTGGAGAGAGAGCCAGGGAGCGAGAACCCCTCAATGGGGTGTGGTCACACTGCAGTCCTTTCTCCTATATCACTCCTTCCATCAGAATTTTGAGCACACATGCCTGGGAGTCGAGACAGAAAGTAGGAAATCACCCCCTGGGGGGATGGCCACACTACAATCCCTTCTTCTCCATTCTCTTCTTGGGATCTTGGGCAAGCATGCACATGCACCCGGCATGAGTTTAAGCCACCAGGTCTGGGACTCAGACTGTAGTCAGCTACATGGAAGTCCAGCGACATAACCATGACATCATTTGCTGGTCCCATGCCTGGGTGTTTTCCAAGCCTTCGGGGCTGGAATTTAAACCAGACAGCCAGGTGGGAGCCTACTCCCTTAATCACTTGAGCTATGTGGCCAGCCAATACATTTATATACTTTTATATAGATACTTAGTACATTTGTAAGATCATAGGTGGAAACGCAAACATCAATGGAATATTTGATGTTAAATAACTACGTTTAATTTCCTGCTGGGTGTGATACTAGTGTTGTGGATGTTAAAGCAGTTCCTATAACTCAGAGATGTATACTGACTACTTACATTAACAGAAGAAAACATACCGCACAGGATTTGGGATTGTCTTCAAAGCAGTAACGGACAGGAAGAGACAGGCAGAATTTGCCATGGTTGCTGAGACCAAGTGATGCACTTATGGGGGAGTTTACCTGTTTTTGTGTTATGTTCAAAATTCTTCTCAATGGGCTGTTCAGGAATCATTTAAACAGGAGGAAGGAGAGCGAGCATGCACTTGAAACACCACCCCGCCCAACGTGGCCACACGCAAACCTCTGTGCTCACCTTGTTCTGCTTCAGGGCACTCTTCTCTTTCATGTGGGGACAATCCTTTCCAGTGACAATAGCCTTAATGTCTGCAACAGGAACTGGGAAATGGTGGGAGTCAGGCTCTGGAAGCTTATGCAGCAAGCTGCCTCAGGACTGGAAGGGAAGCCTGGGCCCCCAAGTTCTAAGGGCATATAGGGAGGCGGGTGGGAGGTGGCCCGTACTGTCTTCCCCTCCCTGGTGGTCACTTCTGGCAGACCACGGCCTGTTGAGGCTGTGTCAAAGCTAACTGGTGGTCACTTCAGGGCTCTTAGGTTTCTCTCCAAGGAATGGGGCCTTGGGCCCTTGGCTCATCTCCCCCACCCAGCAATGAAGATGACAGTGCCACAGAGCAAGCAGCGGTGACAGCTGCTGCCACAGCCACTGCCGGCCAGCCGTTCTTAGTACTTCGTGTACCTCACCCTGTGATCCTTAGGAGGAAAGTATGGCTATTACTCCCACTTTACAGAAGGAAAAACCAAGACAGAGGGGAGACTTAACCTGTAGTGAATTATAGTCGATGCTAATGAGACACAAAGCCAGGACTCAAATTCAGGCAGCCTGGCTTTAGAGCTTTTGCTTTAACTACAGCCTTTGTCTTGGGCTCCTACACTATTCTTGGCCCTACACGCCTTTACAATTGTGGTCTCATTAATTCTCCCAACATCTCTGGGAGCGAGGCCAGGGCGACAGAAAAGGAAGCACGTCCTAAGAGAGGGGTCCCAAGACCAAATAAACCGTTTAAAACAGTCAGGACTAGAACTCGGGTCTCTGAGGAGCCCAGCCCTCATGACACATCCACAGAGAAAGGGACCTACTTTTCTCTTGCAGGGATTCGAATGTCACCTCCCCTTGAGGGTTGTCGTCCAAGTCACCATAGTGTAGGACCTTGTGGTTCAGGGCCAAGCGGCAGTACCAAAACCGTTCTGGAACACAAGGGAAGCCAAGTGGGTGAGGAAGGTCCGTGCTGGGAGAAGCCTGGGCCACGGAGGGACTGGCCTGCCTACCCTGCTCAGGGGCTGCCCCAGCACCTCACACCTTGCCTTCGGCGGTTCCCGATCTTCCGGAAGCTGCTGCCTTCGCAGAGCCGGTTCAGGCGCTGCTGCTTGATAAGCTCCAGGATCTCGGGCTGGATCTTCTCCCTCAGCTCCCTGGGGGCACAGGCGGAGTGGGTGGCAGGTCACGGGGACAGTGGAGCTCTTGAAGGCAGGCAGAGCACCGAGCCCTCAAGGACAGCACTTACACGATTGGCGGGGACTGGAAGTCATCCTGACTCATCCTCTCCGACTGGCGCAGGCGAAGAATTTCGGAGTAGCTCAGGCTTCGCAGTTTGCTCTTGAACTGATCCAGGGAGTTGGGTTTGGAGGGCAAAGCCCGAGTGATCTGCTCTCGGACGACTTGCATGACCTGAGAGAAAAGAAGGCAGCTGACTCGTGTCTCTGCTCTGTAAATGGACAGGCCGATCTGGAAAGCAAGGCTGTCTTGAACAAAGCAGGACTGCAGGTGTCTGCTGGGCAGACGAGGGCACTGCCTTCCCGAGGCCCACCTCCTCGGGTGAGCACGCAGGTGGCAAGGCTGGTGGTGACATGCTTTATTTTTCAGTTAGTCAGCAGTGCTGGGAAACAAGGAGAGGTTTCTGGAGTTGGAGAGAAATGGCATCTGATCTTAACTCTGTCCCTTAATCTGCTCCTTCGGCAAGTCACTTACACCCTCAGGCCCCCACCTGCTCATCTTTCAAGTGAGAGAAAAGAAGACAGATCTTCTAAGGCGTGCTGCCTAAGGCGGAGCGCTACATGGAAGTGCTGAGCCTTCCTGCTGTGGTGTGTTAAAAAAATCTGAGTTTTCCTAAAACAACAATTGCTGAAGAAAATGACAGGACACTACATTGCACGTGCAGTATGATGTCACTATTGACAGAGAGATCCATATGAGAAAAAACTAGAGGAAACTAAAAATTGGTGGTGAAATTATGTAACTTTTTCTTTTTCATACTTTCTGAATTTTTTTTGTTACGAAGCGACCAAGTTCAAAACACTCGTCCCAGACGGGCTCTGGAGCACAGCACTACAGTGCGGGGGCACAGAGAAGGCACAGGTGCCTGAGGTGAGTATCAGCCCAAGCCCTCCGCGCTCCAGTCTCACTTGCCAGCACTCACATGGCCGGCGCTCAGTGGGCCACAGCTATTCTTGTTATGCTCATTCTCTTGTCCCCTTGGGAGGACAGGGGAGACAGGTGCTGGCTTCATGGGCAAATGAGGGCCCAGGGCAACAGGGAAGACACATGTTCAAGGTCAAGGAGGACGTCATGTCCAGATGGGACACAGGCTCACCAACGCCTGCCTTGTGACTTGGCACTGCAGACCAAGCTGGTTTTCCAGCTCAGGGACTCCCCGGGCACTGGCCAGCTGACAGGCTGTCGTGTGCTGAGTCTCCCTCTGTGGGGCTCAGAGCAGCCTGGCAACACTGACCTTGTTGAAGTCCTCTGCTGTTGCCCTCATCTCCTTCCAGGTCTTGTTCAACAGCTGGATGCAGATTCCAAAGAGCTCTTCAAACGCTCGGTCGTGGGTAAAGAACATCGGGTGGTAGTCGTTGCGCCCTTCATTTGCTGTGGAAGGAAGGAAGCAGGGAAAGGATGAAGGCTCTGCTCAGATCCCTAGACCCTCTGAACCAGTCCTGAGGAATGAAAGGAGACCAGGGACCATGGCTAACGAGGACTGTGGGGTGGGCCATTTTCCACTTCCTTAGGGATATTCTCTGTGCTTTTAGCCTGCTTCCACTCCATTAGAGATTCAACAAGCACACGCACACATGCACATGCACACATGGGGTGGCTTCTCAACACAGCTCACATGACCAGCTCAAAGGAGAAACCACGGGGTCAGCAGGTGGCATGGTGGTTAAGGCACTGAATTCCTACATGGCCAACTGTGGTTTGAGTCCTGGACCCAGAAGCTTGAAAATCACAGCAAATACATAGATAAATACATAATTTTTTTTTTTTAAAAGAAAGGCATGATTCCCATAGACAAGGATAAAATAGATTAACAGCTCATACAGTGATTAAAAACAAAACTAGGCAAAAACCACCCCATAAAGCCATCCCGGTCCTCTGACATGTAACTCTTTATAAACTTGGGTCTCGCCAGCCTCTTGATTACAAGGCGTGGCTGAAGGAGGAGGAGGAGCCCTGGAGACTTACGCAGTTCCCCAACCTGCAGGATCTCACAGAGCATCTTGGTGAGTTCGATGGCACTGCGGCCAAAGGGGCATTCGTGCTTATCTTCTCGACTGCTGTTCTCCAAGACAATCTGTGGAGTGAAGGGTGAAGGAGGGTCAGGGAGGGGAGGGAGGAAGGCAGGAGATGGGGCAGCAGACTGAAAAGGCCAGTCCCTGCCTTTACCCGGATGTAGGTGTCCTGGTGGACTTTGGCCAAGTACAGCATGTTGTCCAAGGCCAGCATTCCAGGAGGAGTCTGAGTGAAGTCCAAGGCCGGGTTGATGTGGTTCTGGAGAAATAAAAGACACCGACTGGAGACTTGGTAATCCCCCCATGTAGAGCGTGACCCTGGGGAAGCCCTAGCGCACTCCCCTCTGCCCTCGCTCTTTCACAGGCCCGTTTCTACTATGAAATGGAGCTGCAGGGGCCCCAGACCGTGGCTGCCCACCTGGCGCCTGGGTTGTCCAATGTGGAGCCACTCATGCTGCCGGGCACTGAGTAGATGTGTGCTAAATCTTCCCGTTAACCCCATCTTCAAGCTCGAGCACAAAATACCAAGTCTACAAAGAACTATGCTGTCCTGGCAAGAGGACAGGTCCCCTCTCTAGCTACTCTGGCAGCTCTCTGGTGCTCCTACAACTGGACTTGTTTCACGGGACCAGGTGTGGCACATAAACTCACACCCTCGCCACTGCCAAAGCAAACCGAACGGCAAGGCCCTCCTGCTTCTTTCTGCCATAGATTCTAGGGCCACCATTATGAAGGAGGGCTGGTCAGGGCTCTGTCTGCTGGGCCCTTGGACTTCCTGTCAGGGGAGAAGACCCATCACTGTCGGTATCTGGGGTACTCACTGTAAATCCCAGCATTTTGTAGTCCTTGGTGTACATGGCTTTGCGTTTTTCAGTCCCACTCCCAGGGACATTGCTGGGGTCGGACTCTGCATCAAATGCAATCCTCCTCAGCTCAAATATGATGTCTCTCTGAGCCTGAGAGGTAAAACAGACCATGGGCAGGTGCACCCGCTAGCCAAGGGGAACAGGAAAACTCTGGCCTCACTCAGTCTCTTAGGAGGCATCAGCTCTAGCTCAGCTGGGCAAAGTGGGCTTGGCCCAGAGAGTCTCCTGGCAGGTGCAGATCACGCGGGATCTTCCAGGGAAGACGGGAGGCCCTGGTGCAGACAGGACCAAGCACAGGGCATGCAGACTAAGGGCAGCCTGCAGCATAGCCACGAGGAAATAGCACGCGATTTCAGCCTCAGGCTCTGCCCTGACCACCTACCTGGTCATTGGGGTCCATCTTGGTCATCATCCTTTCTTCTAGAAGGTTAAAGGTCAGGACTTGAAGGACATATAGCTGATGGGCCATCTCAGTCTTGATTGGGCGGTTCCCTCGGATCACGTGCTAAGAAAAGCAAAGGCAGGGAGCCGGGACTGAACTGAGTTTTGCTTTTACTGAAGAGTCACATCTGTGCTAGTGAAGAAGAGTACACCGGGCAGAAACAGAGCTTTCCTCCCACACACGGACAGCATGTTCTAGAAAGCGATGGCGCGTGAATGGGCTTGATTCAGGCAGTGATGATTCACAGCAGGCCTGAAGGGCGCCATCCCTCCCTCTGCACTCCCTGGGCAGGGGAAGTGGAACTAGGGGTGGAGGCCATGCCCGATCGTGTGGATGGGGGGCTATGCTGTCAAATTTGTGATGAGGGACACCAGCAGCTGGGCCTGCTCCGGGCAGGCACCACACAGGACCACTAAGTCCAAGACAACGGGCAGTGTGATGGAGGGAGAGCTGTTCTCCCTGAGAAAAGTCAAGCGTCTTGGACGGTTTCACCCAGCGATAGGGGGACACCTCCACATCACCTTCCTTCCCGTCCTGCACTTGGCCTCATCTTCTCTCTCCTATCGCTGTGTGCCCCGCACGCTGCCCCTCTGCCTCCTGACTGTCTGCCCCACTCACTCTGCACCAGTTCTTTATCTCCTCCCTTCGTCCTGCTGGGGCCTTGGTCACCTCTCATGTCTGTCTCCGTCTCTTTCTGGCATGCTACGTCTCCTTGTCTGTCCTGGCTGGTCAGTTCTTATCTCTCAGGATCCTGTCCTTGCTCCTCAATGGCCTGCTCTTTCCTTCCCCCCACCCCCTTTGTCTGCCCCGCCATCTTGGATCCTGCCCTCTCGGTTTTCTTGCCCAGTTTCCACATATACCCCCTCCGGGTCCTACATGCTCTTATTCAGTAGCTCTGTGTCTCCAGAGCTGGGTTGTCCAGTATGCTTATCTGCATGTGAGTCAGTTCAAACTGATTCCAGTTAAAAACTCGGGTCCGTGGTCCACACCGGCCACCGAGCAGAGTGCTCAGTCACATGTACTAGTGGCTCCTGCAGTGGACAGTGCAGACAGAGCACACTCTATGGGCACAGTCCTCTTGGACCGCACGGCTCCGGCACGCTCGAACTCTGGACCAGCATCTTTGTAAAGCTCCCTCTAACTTCCCATCATCTCCCTCAGAGCTTTCTCTGGCCCGAGATCAGACCTCTTAGGCCTGCACAGTCCAGTTTGGGAACCGCCGGGCACAAGGGACTGTCAACACTTGAAACATGCCTAACTCCAAACCAAATGCTCTGGGAGTATAAAATGCATGCTGGACCACAAGGCCTTAGTATGAAAAAGAAAGTGTAAAATATCTTAATATTTCACATGTTGAGATGCCAATGTTTTGGATATCCTGGGTTAAATAAAATATATTATTGAGCATGTGCTCGCTAGAGAGAGACAGAGAGAAAGTGAGAAATTACTACCCGGGGGTAAGGGTCATACCGCAGTCCCCTTTCTGCCATTCTGACGCCATACCTGCTTCCAGCCCTCCAGCTCCGTCACGAGTACTGTACCACCTCTCTGTCTCTCTCGAGTATGAGATCTCCCATCTTAGCCTCAGTGTCTCTCCTAACTCCCCAGTCTTATTTACTTCCTTGTCCTCTGCTCGGCACCTCCTCCCCACAGGAGTCTCTCTTCCTCCCCTGTCCCCAGTCTCTCTCACAGCCTAGGGTCTCTTCCCTGCAGCTTCTCCCCAACTCCCAGGCCCCACACTTCGTTTTGCCTCACTCTGAGCCTTGCTTTGACAGCCCTGATTTCCCTGTATCTGTCTATCCCTACTCCTCACTTCTCTCCGTAATTTATCAAACGGCTTGGTAAAGAGGTGAAGTTAGGTGATTCTGGTTTCCTTCAGTTTAATCTCCTTTCTCATCTTCAGAGACATCATGGCAAGAAAGCAATTAATTATCCCAGCAGCTCTGGTCTGATGAGTTACACTTTCCGAGGTTTTTCCTGAACTCACTTGACTGTCAAAGATCTCGAGGCTTAAGCTCTCTCTGGCTGACTCGGTTAAATCCCGGGACTTTGGTGAGCATGCATTAACCATCTCCTCCTGGCAGACCAATTAAGTCCTGAGTCCCGATGCTGGCCTGGTTTGTTCACAAGGTTTGTGCAGAAATGAAGTGAACTTCTAACCCTGTTAGGGTAAACAACAAATCTCAAACATAATTACATCTCCCTCGAAGGGCACCGTCGCCCCCACACATGCAGAGGAGGGTGCCCAGGGCGGCTGCTCAGGAGTGTAGACAGGAATGTGTGGGAGCCTTGGCACTCCTGTCACTGGTGGGCAGTGTTCTGGCATTTGCTCTGGCCCTTCCTGCCAGGCTGGTAGCTGGCTGTCACCAGGGAAGTGGCCAGCTGGGAGGAGCTAGCTCTGCCAGGAGAAGTCTGGTGGGCTCTGTGTGCGCACAGCAGCTGACTGCTCGCTTCCCGAGGGCTCAGAGGCCTGCCTGCGTCCATCGCCTCTGCAGCCTGCCCCACCAACGCGGGCGAGCACTCGGCACGGCAGGCCCCCGTGGAGCACTGCCCGTCCATTCGCTCACTTAGTCCTCACATCCAGATGAGCGCGTTGGCAGCCCAGAAAAGTGAATTGCTCAAGACCAAAGACTGGAAAATAGCCGAGCAGGGCCTAGTCCACGCATTATTAAGTCTTCCACACTTGATTCCTCATCTTTAACTTTACTCCCTTCACTGAAGTCTCCCAGCTTTCCCTTATTTCTGACAAGTCATAAACTGCTTCCTTGTCCCTACTCCCAGCTCCCCTCACCCCAGCCATTTCTTCCACCCCCTTTCAGCCCGTGGTAATGGAATTAGACCTTTTTCCGGATCTCACCTCCACTGCCCTCCCAACTTCTACTCCTACTCTTCTCCCTCGACCCCCCTCAGGAGACTCACAGATCTTTCAGTGTGATCTCTGCAGTGCGAATCTGGTTATTTCACCATCTGGATGAAAGGCATTGCCAGTGTTACCTGATCTGGACCCACCGCACGATGTGCTCCCTGCCCCACCTGCGCCAATCACACCTGCCTTCTGGGTCCCAGCCACCCCTGCTCCTGTTCTCCCTCCTCACCCTCCGAGGCTCAGCTGAAGACATTCCCCTAAAGGCTTCCTGACACCCTCTCTTTCAAGGTGGGACTCGCTGCTCCTCCGGGCCTCTCCCAAACCAGGAATCTCTATGGACACATTGACCATACTGTGCTGTGATTTAGTCTTTCCTACAGGACCAGGTTTCCGAGAGCAAACACATTCCCTTTCATATCTGCCAGTGCCCTCCACAGTTCAGGCTTATCACTGGTGTTGACTCAATCACTTTCCTCACTTGTGCCTAGAATTTTAAGTGTTTGCTCTAGGGCCTGCATGCTCGCTGGAGAGAGAGAGAGAAAGGAAAAGTGAGAAAGCCCCTCCCAGGGGGATGGGCATACTACAATCCCTTTTCTATTCTCCTCTCAGAATTTTAGGCTTGCACGCACTCTCACCTGGCATGTTTTTCAAGCTTCCAGGTCTGGGACTTGAACTGTGCAGTTATGTGGTCCAGCACCTTAACTGCCACACCACTGGCTGGCCCTATTTGTGCCTCCTTTAACACAGTCCCCCTGGATAACAATTTTGGAGTTGCACAAATGATATGGGGGAGGGGGGGTCTTCAAAAACTTCAAGAAAATTAGGAAATAACTTTGTAGGTCTTCAACATTTTTTCTGTATCCAAATAAATTCCACTTTTAATTTAATTTAATTAAGTAAATTAATTAATTCCATTTTTTAAAATTCCACTTTTCCATGGATTTTTGAAGTTCCCCTGTACAGTTGGCCTTAGTCCCTGCCCCCCAAGAGATTTTGCTATTCCTGGTGAGATGGCAGATAGCTGCTCAGAGAGGGCAACAAGGAAACAGTTTCCAGTTTAAGAAGTGTTTCACACCTCTGTGCCCCCCCCCGACATAATTTCAATAATGATAATTCACTATAACAATGGTGGTGGTCACTATTAGTGGTAACGAAGAAATAGTAACTAAATATGGCGTGTGCCAGGAACTTACATTCAGGATTATAGACCGGAGGTGCTTCTGTGCAAATGCGTTGGCCATGTCCTACAGAGAGAGGGAAGAGAAATGAGGCCAGGGGGAAGAAACACCTGCGGCTGCTCTCAAGAGAGCGGCGATGTCAGTTCTGAGCCTTTTTCTCTTAAATGTCTTCTTTTCAAAGGAAAAGTGGGTGAATGGAAGGAAATCCACTGACCAATAAATGTATTTTACATTCTGAAAAATTCTTCCACTTTTCTCTTTCAGGAGTGCACATGAACTCACGTAGGGTGTCCCTCCCTAATGGCACACGAGACAGCACTGTCTTCAGAGAGGGACAAGGACTCCTTGCGGCTCGGTGAGACACATGTGCTACAAGGATGCCAGACGACGGACATGGCACGTGGAACACAGAGCAGTGCTGGTTTCCAAGCCACATGCATGGCTCCAGGTGGTCCCCCGCCACAGCTGGGAGGGAGTCTGCCAGACAAACCCCGACAAGGGAAGGGCCTTGGCCGGCAGCCCCCTCCCCTCCCCTGGCCCTCACAGACAGGCTGGGGCAGGACACGCTCAGAGTCAGTAGGCTATGATCCACTTCTGACTGGCTCAGGGAACAATCTCGGGGTGCTTCAGTAACTTTTCATAATAGAGTCGCCTTTTTTATCATATTAGCTTCAGATTTTGACATTAATGCTTTATTTATTTAGCACAGTCGGGAAACAAAGTATCCTCCAGAAATTAATCTTGTAGGGAGCAAAGCTTTAAGGGCTCTCTGAGAACCACGGTTCTGACCATTCTCATGCAAATCTTTTAAAAGACACTATATACACTTCTTTATTTCTGAAGAGACGACAATGACTACAATTTAATCATTGCCAAGGACTTGGCTTCATGAAAAAGAGCAGCGGTTATTATTCTGTGTTGTGACACTGTAATACCCCGAGGAGCTATTGAAATGTGAAGCTATTTTCCCCTAAACAAAATGGTCCCAGATTACAAGGCTTTTAATTTTTCTGACAGCTTTTCATAATTCCTCTGCCTCCTCCTTCCCATGTCAGCCCTCACGTCTTACTAATGTTAATTAGTGTAACTTCACTTTCTGAACTGCCGCCTTGATTAATTTTACAGCTAATTCTAAATCAAGGGGCCTGAGGGAGCTGTCCCACCTCTCCCATGGAGTAATGTCCATGCCCGCTGTCATTTTTCTCGGAGCTGAAAGGCCTTTCTCTCCCACTTCTCGGTCGCCAGCCAGATTCCAAAGGGCTGACGCTGCCAGGAACACTGCATTTTACTCTGCATGCTCTGAGCACATATTGGCCGGCAGAGGAGAAAGGTGGCCTAGACGCTTCTTTGATGGTTATGCGAGGTCGGTTGAGATTAAATCTTGCTCTGGACAACTCGCAAGGTCGGTAATTGACAGAGGACGACCGCGAGAATATAAAGGTCTGAGACCAAAAGCTTCTCCGTGGTGCCGAAGGGGAAGCTCTCGTCCTCTTTCATTGCCTCTGTAAAAGCTGACCTTCCCAAAGCTCCCTCTGACCGAGAAATGAGCACCCAAACTCCCTTTTGTCAACTGTCTAAACCTTTCAAATTCCTACGGTGTACTAAGAGTCCAAAAAGGACAGGATTTACCTCCGCTCTCCTGCTATATAGCCAGCTGGCAGGCAGCGCATCGTGGTACCGTCTTGCTGGAAGTCCCAGGCTGTTTCCGAATCTGAGCTTCCCCGGGTGAACCACAGGCCACATAAAGGCAAGTTTCAAAGGCAAGACTGGGCCCCATTCCCTGGGTCAGGCATCCCCTAATCCTTTCTATAACTTCTGTCTGCAGGGTGTCCCCACGTGTCCTTACGGATAAAACAAACACAAAAGCTTCCCTAAACCTCGAGGTCAGACCAGGAGGAAACCACTGCCCAGCTCTGCCTCCCCACCTGGAAGAAGCCAGGGCCCCTTCCACACGGCGGTGCTACTTACAGTGACAGGCAGGTCTAGAGGATTAAGGTGCTTGTCCTGCCGGCAGAAAGCAAAAAGCACAGAGAGAAGCAGACGGAATGAGCTTTCAGCTTACATTCAAATGAGGACCAGAGGCAACAGATGAACAGAGCCAAGCCATCCAGAAAAGACAAGGACGACAAACCACACATGCTTCCGGGCCTCCCTAGAATCTTCTCAGAGCTTGGTACACCATCCCATTGGATGTCATCTTACTCAGCCCGGGATATTGACAGAGGAATAAAAAAAAGGTTTATTTTTGTACATACCACTGGGACTTTTATCAGAGAAATCTAAAATGTCATGTTGGCAGGGCCCTTAGAGATAATTTAATCTGGCCCTTCATGGAACAGAACCAGAAACTGAGCCCTAGAAAGGTTAAAGACACTCGCACAGTCACAGCAGGAACATATTCAAGAGTCCCAGGCCCCTTGACTGCTAGGTCAGTGTTAGTTGCCCCACCCAGCTGAGTCCTGGTTTCTTCATTTGTAAAATAAGGGTCTATGACATCCTCGTGGGTGCCTGGCGCAGATGTCACTCCCACATTTCACATGAAGAAACTGAGGTTTGGAGAGCAGAGCTATCTGTATAACATCACACAGCCAATGATTGGGGGGAAAAGATGCTTAGAATCTGGACCAGAGAACCTTGACACTGAAACTTAGTGCTAACTCCCACCGTTTTAGACCCGTTGGACTTAAGCGATGCTTCTTCTCCCTTAGTCTTGATCCTGTAACCCAAGGTTAGCAAACTATGGCTGAAGTCGGCAGGGAGCATATGGCTGACCGCAGTTCAAGTCCCAGACCTGGTGGCTTGCTTTCTTGCCTTCCCTCTCTCTCTCTGGTCAAACTAAGATAATAACAATAGATAAAATTAAACAAATTATTATTTTTTTATTTTTTGGAGAGGTTTTTGCTATAGGGCATGTGCACTCGCCAGAAAGACAGAGAGAGACAGAGAGAGAGACAGAAAGCGAGAAATCATCCCCCGGGGGATGGCCACGCCGCAATCCCTTTTCCTCCATTCTCCTCTCGGGATCTTGGGCATGCATGCACATGTACCCAGCGTGAGTTTAAGCCACCGGGTCTGGGGCTTGAACTGCGGTCGACTACATAGGGGGTTCAGTGACACAGCCATTACGCTAACTGCTGGTCCCAACAAATTATTCCTTTCTGAAATGTAACCAAGGCAAAAGATGTACACTCTTGTTCCCTGAAATAACTCATGATCTCTTCTTAACATCTTTCTTTAGGTTTACTTTTTAATTATAATTCAATATCAATTTCTAGAAAACATGTCAGTCTAGAAATCATTTTCAAGAGTCAGTCTTAAGGAAAATTAAAGGATGCCAACAAACCCAAAAGCGTAATCTCCCTAAAATTTCAAGGACACTGAAGGGAATAGCCACATGACATTTTCTTGAATCAGTCCAGACTCAGCTCAGGACAAATTTGTAGCCCTTCTAAGTAGCCTTCTGCACACATAGTTTCAGTGATTTCTAACTTTAAATTCCCAGGTGCAGCAACCTGATTAAGTATTGATAGTGTATAATGACTTGCAACTGAGATATATATCAAAATGACTAGGTGAATTTTTAATTATGTCAGTCAAAAATTTGAAAAATCTATTTGGAAGTATCTGAACGAAATTACGCTAACTGCTGGTTCCAACAAATTATTCTTTTAAAAAAAAAAAAAGTGGGACTGGTGGTGACATGGTAGTTGAGGGCGTTGGACTCCCACATGGTCAACAGTGGATTGAGTCCTGGAGCTGGTGGCTTGCTTTCTCTTTCTCTCTCTGTCCCTCTCTGGTCAAATTAAAATAAATCAATAAAATTAAAGAATTATTAAAAAAAAAAAAAAGCAAACTATGGTCACATTAGGCTTGTCACCTGTTTGTGTAAATAAGTTTTATTGGAAGACAGCCAAAGCCATTATCTACCTATTGCCCAAGGTGGCTGTGGGCTACAATGCAGGATTAAGTAGTTGTCACACAGACTGTATGGCCCACAGATCAGAAAACGGTTACTCTACAGCCAGAGGAAGAAGTCTGCAGGGCCCTGTTCTGATCCTGAACCCAGAGTTTCCCCTCACAGTTGTACCCTGGGCCTTCCTTAGCAAAGCTGTTTTACTGGGCTCTGACCGCAGAGCTAGGAGGAAGGACTCCTGGAAAAATGGCTGGATTTCTGTTGTTTGTGTAGTCAAGTTGGTGGGGTGAGGATTCTCTTAGAAGAGCCCAGATGAAAAGTTTGACAAGGCAGCCACAGACCTGTCGCTTGTCCTCAGGAGCCTTCAGGAAAAGTGCGTTGATCAGTGCGATGGCATAGGTCTGAATCTCCTGGTTGGAGCTGTGTCGATTGAGAAAGAAGGCAGAAGGAAATCAGAAGAATGTACAGCAAGACAATGCTTTGAGATAGTTTAAAACAGTCACTCACAGGTTGTGCTCCTGGAATGAAGGGGAGGGACTAAGCATTAATAATGGGCATGTCCTTGACTTAGCAATTCCACTGATAGGAATTCATCTTGTGCAAGATTTACTGACAAGGGGTTTCACTAAAGCAGTATTGAAAATGTAAAGAATGGGACCAGATAGTAGCGAAGCAGTACAACACAACTCTCAGTGAGGCTGATCTACATGGGAAAGTTGCCGGTTCAAGTCTGGAGACCTCCCTGTACGCACAGGACATGGAGTTGCCCACGATCCGGGGCTAGCTGAGGATGGACTGCAGTATCGAGACCCCACGGGACTGCTGTCTCTCTCTCACTTGGGAGAAATAAACTTAGGGGAAAAAATGATGAGTAATCCAAACTTCTGCATTTGCAACTCTATTTATACAAATGAGAAACTAAGTAGTTGTTTCTTTTTAATGTTAGACGGTATGCACGCATGGTGGGGGGAATTGAGGCAGAGAGAGAGGGAGAGGGGCAGATGAAGGGAAGGAGAAAGACAGTGTGCATGTGCCAGTACCCTTCCAATGGGCCTGGCCACGCCACCGCAATCCTCCTTCCTCAAACCCTGTATCCCGTCAGGATCCTAGGCACACACGCGCGCACACACACATACACACACACACATGTTTTCAAGCTGCTGGGGACAGGACTCAAACCCTGGTTGGCCACATGGAATTTGGCTTCCCCGCTCAACTACTGCAATTTGGGGCCAACCTTCTAGGTAGCTATAAATACCATGTTTTAGGGGGACCAGCAGGTGACGTGGTGGTTAAGGCACTGGACACTCCCACATGGTCGACCACAGTTCAAGTTCTGGACCTGGTGGCTTGCTTTCTCACCTTCCCTCTCTTTCTCTGTGTCTCTCTCTCCAGTCAAATTAAAATTAATAAATAAAAAAAATTTAAAAATCATTTTTTAGTATAAAATTTCTTAAATTGGGATTTGGGGATGGGCTTAGAGTATCTGTGAACCCCAGAAACAGTACAGGAATGATTCTATGTAGTTAGTTAACTATGTGATTTTTTTTTTCAAAGTAGTGAGAGTCCACAGTTGCAACTAAATTTTCTTTGTTTCTTTTTAAAGTTGACTTATTTATTTTTACCAGGAGAAAGAGAGAGAGATATACGCACATCCAACAGGGTCTTCATGCTATAACCCACCCCCAGCCTCAGGTTCCTGGACCACTAGTATGTACCCGTGTACTCAAGGAGAACTTGGGATGGGAACCAGGACCGTGCCATAGGGATCAGCATTTCAGGACACTGTGTTACTGCAGTGCCAGCAGCTGGGTCCAGGACTGGATTTTCAAAGGTATCGAGAATGCAAAAGAAAGTTTAGAACTATCTTTTCAGTAGAATCTTTGACATGGGAAATGTTTGAGTTACATTATTCAGTAAAAAAAAAAGAAAACAGCCAAAGTACGTATAGTATCTACAGTAAGATCCCAATTTTGTTAAAAATACACAGAGGGGCCAGCAGGTGGTGTAGTGGCTAAGGCGCTGGACTCCCACATGGCCAACCACAGGTTGAGTCCCCGACCTGGCGACTTGAAACTTACTCCAGGCACATGTGCATATGTGCCCAAAACCCCAGGAAGAAAATGGAGAAGGGATTGTGGCATGGCCACCCCGCAGGGGGTGATTTCTCACTTTTCCTCTCACTGTCCCTCTCTGTCTTTTCTCCAGTGAAAGCACACACTCTATGGCAAAAACAAACACACACACACACATATATGTTTACATGGAAAAAAAAGACTGGAAGGACATTCCATTTAATTTTAAATAGTGGTAATGTCCTGGAGGTGGGATAATGGGCAATTAATTTACTGTTTTGCATGTCTGGATTTTCAAAGTCTTCAACTACAAACTTATCTTACTTTATTTTAAACTAATAAAATAACTATTAAATTATGCAACATTTATCTATACATAAAATAAAAATGTATTTATATAAACTATAACCCTTTTCTGGAATCTTATAATCCTGGCTCTTGACAAGACATGGCCAGCTGCCATGCAGTGGTGCACTGTGGCTCTCTCTCCAGAGGGGCCGGTGTGCCTCTTGGTCCGTCAGGCACACCCAGGGAGTCTAATGGAAGCCACTAAGTGTCCCTCAACACCAGCCCAAACACCAGAGCACGTAAGCTCCAGGGACAGCACGGCTAAAAGTATTCACAACTGACTCCAAAGAAATGCCATGCTCCTCGATCGCCCTTAGGGAGCACTGAGGCCATTCCTAATCAGAGACAAAGGAACAGAGTGGTAGGTGTGAGTTCGGAAAACGGAACTCTATCTTGGTGTTTACAATAGCCTTCTTTTTTTTTTCATTTTAGCAGTTTTTTAATAAGAACGGTAGATAGGATTATTTTACTCCTGCATCTTTTCGATCGTTTCTTCCTTATATTGCCCTTTTCCTTTCCTACTTGGCGAGACTTGGCTTTCCGTTCAAGGATCTTTTTGTGGTCTTTGTCCAGCTTTAGTCTAGGGATAACCACCTTGCTGGGGTGAATCCCCACATGGACCGCTGTGCCATTAGCCTTTTCCCACTGCACCCGCTCAATATAGATGACATATTTCTTCCTGTAAACTTGGGCCACTTTGCCAATTTGCTGACCTTTATAGTGTCCTCGCACAACCAGAACTTCATCATCCTTTCGGATGGGCATAGATCGCACGTTGTACTTCTGCCTCAGCTCTTTGGAAAGGGGGGAAGACATTATTTTCCTTCGGATGTGGGAAGGTGCATTGAAATGCCTTTTACGGTTCTTGCTTTAGTCAGAAGTCATGAAAGGACTGAACTTCATTTTGGCCGCTGCAGCTCCGGCAATGGCCGCGCAAGAGCTACAATAGCCTTCTCACACTAATCAGCCTTGTTGGTTCTTCAGGTGTGCAAGTGAGGCTAAAGAATTCCTTAAAAGTGACAAGGAGAAATCAGGGCTGCAAAGAGATCACTGTGCTTTCCTGTTGCTTGGATTAGTGGAGAAGGCGGGCTGGGAGCACAGCAGAGTGAACTCCCACCTCTGGGAATCATGATTCCCCCTCGAACTGCCCAGGGATCCTGGCAGCATCCTGGCAATGTCCAGTAAGCTAGAAGTGAACGGGGGTCCCAAGAATTCAGTGTTTTTAATGCTCTTGTTTTGGAAAGCCCAGCCCCCTTAAACCGTGCAGACTGACTGAGAGGGAAGAAAAAGGAATGGAGAAGAGAGGAATGGTGCTCCCACGGGTTCATCTATCATCTGGTTTTATTATGTGGTGTTAATAAATGTTTAGGATGTGATGAGCTTAAGAAACAAACAAAGGCACGGCTTTGGTGGTCAGTGCTGGTTGACACTGACCCTTGCGGGCCGAGGTCATGTGGGAGGCCCAGGCTCAATTCCTGGCCCACCCAAAAAGCTGGTGTGGAGGCGCGCATGGGCAGTCCCACCTACGCAGGAGGACTGCAGCACAGTGAGTCCCTGTCTAAAGCAAAAACTCCTGAAATTACTGAGTACCTACTCTGTGCTGGCCACTGTGTTAGACCTTTTTTTAAAAAATATCCTTGGATCTTCAGTCTGAGAGGTAGGAATGATAATTCCAGTCTAAAGATGAAGAAACTGAAGCCAGAAGAGCCTTGCTGAAGGTAGAGACCTACCGTGGCAGAGCCTGGGTTTGAACCGATATCCTGGAATCCCCCTGTATATTTCCTGCTGTCTCCACAGCACAATGTTAGCTCAGTTTCATTCAACAAACACTAATTGAGAGTCTTACTTAAATCAAAGCAGAAGATACAGATGTGACTGGTCCTTGTTCCTAGAGAGCTCAAAGTTTAAAATGGGCAATAGATAATGAAAATACATACACCTATCATAGGTATGAATAGAGACTTTTGGGCCCACCCGGAAGAAAGCATCTAATTCTGTCTGGTACCAGGGGGGTGTGGAAAGACTGGGTAAAACTTTAGTCTAACGGACAGGAGAGTTACAGGGGATCTCGGCAGGTCAGGCATGATCAGGTATGAATGACAAGAGGACTCCCAGCCATAGTGTGGTAGGGATGATGAGTGAATGAACGGCACAGCAGCAGCTGGCAGCGTAAGCACAGCAGAGGTAGGACTGGGAGTCTTAAAATAAGAGGTGAGAGACAACAGACGAGCAAAGGGAGGGTGGGGAGGGGTCTCTTACTCACACCTGCAGGTGTGAGATGAGCTGTCCCACGGTGATCTCCTCTGCAATCTTCTGGTACAGACTCTGGCTGTTCAGGACCATGCTCTCTAGGATGGCCAGGGACCTCTGAAGGATGGACACGTCCACCATGGGCTGGCTCACGTACCCTGCAATCTAGACCCGGAGAGGGGTGGATCAGCAGGGAATCTCACGGTGCAAGGGAGCTGGAGCGTCTGGGTTCCTGAAACGACGAGGCCTCGCAGGCGTGATGCCCTCGCCTGGGCAGCTGTTGCTGGGTGAACGGTACCTGGCTTACAGCCACCCTGGCTGATGTGGCAGGGATTCCCGAGACATGGATAACTTGGAATCAGATTATAGCAACCACTTGAGTGTGTTTCCTCAAAATCTGAGGCTTAATCCCATTTTTTTTTTTCAAAGTAAGGGTTTACACTCAGGAAAGCTAAGTACAAAAAAGCAGAGAAAGCAGAGGATTTTACTAATACTAGAATCTCATTTGATCTCCAAGGACTCTTCTGACAAATGCTTTCTCTCTGTGCACACTTGGAACATCACAGACTGTGAGAGGTAGAAAGGACTTTGAAGTTTTTTAATCTAATCCCTCTTCTCAATTCCCATTATAATACCCTTAACATATGGTCATTTCATTTTTGCCCCAATATCTTCAGTGGTGGGAAGCCAATGACGGGCCGAATTCAAAGACAGTGGATATATTATTATTCACTGGTTTTAGTTCTGTTTTCTGAATTGACACTTTTTTACAAAGAAAGGAAGGCCAAACCAGAAGTGTTCCTTCCAATCCACTGAGTCTGATCTGAAGAGCCCAACAGGGTAACTTGAAGATTTGTAAATAGAAGGCATATTTGCAAATAAAATGTACATTTTTTAAAAGGTTTTTGCCATAGGGCATGTGTGCTTGCCAGAGAAAGACAAGAGACAGCGAGAGGAAAGTGAGAAATCACCCCCCAGGGAGATCCCTCGGCAATCCCTTCTTCTCCATTCTTCGCCTAGGATTTCGGGCATGCACGCATACACGCCTGGTGTGATTTTCAAGTCACCGGGTCCGGGACTTAAAAAGCAGTCATCCATGTGGGAGTGCAGTGCCACAACCACCGCACCACCTGCTGGCCCCACAGAGAAGGGAGAGTATAGGAAGCAGCTCAGAAGACTCAAGGACAGCATGAGCTGCCTGGCGAGGACTTTTATCCCAAGTCTCACTGACAATCTGACTCTTCTCTGACCATATTCAGTTCTGAGAACCCAGTTCCATCTCCTCAGGACAGAAAGGTAACAGTGTGGACCTTTCAAGAGTCATCAGAAGACCAGGGCAAAGGTAAAAAAATGCAGCGCCAGTGACTAGAAGCTGACCCTCACCAGAATACCTATCTTGCCCATATCCCCCCTTAAGCCTAGAGAATAACTGGCAACTGGGGGCGGAGAGGAGGACACAGTGTTGGAGGCCTCACCTGCTTGATGAAGGTGATTGAAACCATGTCCCAGGAGACAATGCCATGGTCCATGAGCTCTAAGAAGGCAGTCAGGGTGAATGCCAGCATCTCACTGTAGCTGAGGCATAAGCAACACACGCAGGTTAGCACGAGGATTTGGATCCAGGGAGCAGGTATGCAGGCAGCCACAAAAGGACAGATTTCACTGGAAACCCCTAGGAGAAATCGCTGATGTGACCGTTAAGTGTCCACACGCACACCCATCCAGATGTGGAGTACATTCAGCCCAGGTATCTACTATCAAGGGGGGGGGGGGAATAGCGAGGCTGCTAGGTGGTTAGGCTTTCGTTCTCCACACAGCTTCATCTCAGGGAAACAGAATCACTTGTCTGCTTCCCAAGACCAAAGAAGACATCAGACCTTTACAAGCTCTAACACTTGTCAGGGGAACCTAGGAGACCTTATGACCCAGGTTAACTTTCAGGCCAGGAAACAGCTGAGTACCTGGGAAAGGTTACAAGATGTAGACAGGGGTGCAGCTTCTGTTACCCATTGACTAACCATGGAGATTTTATCTTTTCAAACTCCCATTTCTTCCTCTCTAAAATCGAGTTAGTCTCACAGCATTAACCTCAGGGGGTCGTGCTGAGGGCAAGATGATGATGTACGCAAAGTGCTTCTCATATTGTGGGAGGAGAAGGTGCATTCAAACATTTTCACTCTTCCTTACACAGTGAATCCTTTACACAGCTGTACAGTGGTCTGTAATTAACCGTCCGCATTCCCATCCACAAAGCGTGTCCCAGCGCAGTCTCATGAACGATACTCCCAACGATGCTGCAGGATAGGTATTATCCCCATTTTAAAGAGGAGGAGACCGAAGCCAGTCTAATCCTGCGTCCTCAAAAGCTTGGAGGACTCCTGCGTCAGTGCCGATGGCAGCTGAAGACTTCAGTGAGGACAAAAGACCCAAGACTGAAAACAAACACTTAGGATGAGCTGCTGCCACGTGGTTGAAAAATCTGCATAGTTAACGGGAACCTAAGCATCTGTGTGCACACTACTGATCACCAGGCACAGCTTCCCACCACACTGGGAGCTCTCTCTGGAGCAGTAAACAGATGTTCATGGTATGTGGCAGGGAGATGGCCCAGAGCTCGTGAAGGTAATCTGCAGTAAACCAAAACGCAGTGCACGCATGCATGTGAGGTGTGGGAGTGCCAGGCTCTGTAAAGGGTAGACTGACACCTGTGCTGGGAGATAATGGACAGTCTCACCACTCAGTGCTCCCTGTCAGGCCAAGCATTTCCATAAATTAGCAGGACTGACTAGACTGACCACCCTCCTCCTGACTCCTATGGCCCGTTTTGACGACTCACTGTGCACAGCGCTGTTCTGTACTGTTACTAACTTTGCAAGAGCCCCACTCGACTACCAGAGTTGGGACCACAACAGTGAAGCAGACCTCCCTGTGTGGACTCCGGTGCCTGGCATACTGCTCTGTCTACAGCAAGTACCCAATCGACTCTTCATCTGGCTCAATGGAAATCTTCAAAGTCTCCCGGAATGAGCCCTCAGGAATACTCACTGGGACAGGAGCTTGGTTCCACTCTCCACAAGCCTTGTCAGCACGATGATGCCATCCATGTTGATGAACTCAGTAGCGAAAGTCACGTCAGCAGAGAGCTTGGCCAGCTCCTTCATGGCATCCAGCCGGGTCTCCATGTTGGATGACTGGGTCCTCTCCATCAGCTGGCGTGCAGCCCGGGACTGTGAGACCAGGGACAAGACGCATACCATCTGCTCCTTGTGGCAGGTAACTACCCTGCGGTTAGCTCACAGGGGCCCTTCTGCGAACATCCAAACCCGAGGCAGAACTAGTGTTTCACGCTGCTTAGGAGCTGCTAAGTAAATGTTTACTGGATCAATCAGGGAATTACCAGTATGCCAAGATCAATCTGTAGTTATCTCTAGCACTCTGGTCTATGGATTAAAAAAAAAAAAAAAAATCCTACCAAGGAAATACAAGAGAGATGTAGGAGATCTACTAACTACAGCAAGTCACAGAAAAAGAGTTATTGACTCAATATAGGAGAGTTTTCTGTTAATTAAAGCTGCCAGACAGTGGAAGAGGTTTCTCCTGAGGTACTGAGCTCCTTGTCACTAAAGCAATAGAGGCGAATCTGGACAACCATCTGTCAAAATTGCTACAGAAGGGACTGTGGCATCGGGTGGAGAATTTAATCGAATGACCTTTAAGATCCCTTTCTGTCCTAGAATGTGATAAGCTTGATGATTTTTTTTTTTTCTCAACTTTCTCTCATGTCCATATCATTGTTCCTCAAAGGGATAGTCCTGGGGAAACCTTAAGAATATGAAGGAGCCAGAAACAGTTCCTTTCAAAACAGCTTCTGACAACGATGGCTGGTGAGGACCAAACCTCCTGCTGGCACAGGAACTTCTCCTAGCAGGACGCTTGCCTCCTTTCTGCAAGCCAGGGCTCAAATCCCTCCTTTCCCATTCACTGACTTCTCCTTTTGTTGAACTTATTAACTTCACAGTCAGTGCCTCATAATTTATCATTCCATCATTCTCTATGTTTTGAGTATTAATTTAATGTTCACTGCTGGAAAGGAAGAGCACGAATGCTCCTGGGGTCTGTCTTTTTTCTCACAGTGTTGAGCAAGGGACTGAGCCCAGCTCCTGCTGCTGGCCAAGAGGTCAGGCCTGCTGCCCTGCTCCCCCTTGCCTCTCCTCTGTCACTCTCACAGAGGTGGTCCTTAGCAGCACGCTGCTCTCGATGACACAGAACCCCTCCAGAATCTCTGCAGAAGTGCAAATGTGTGCTCGCAGAAAGGTCACAGGAGAGGGCAATTTGGAGAGCACTGGTCTGCAGCACACTTAGACACTTCCAACTCCAAATGTCAATTTGCCTCCCGAGACAGCATTTCTGAGCTGCTGCCTGCAGCTCCAGAGAGATGTGCTTCTGGCAGAGTCGGCTGCTCTACGCACGAGGTCTGTAAAATGCTTCGGCACCTCCATAAAAGTGAGTAACTCCCGACTCTCATATTAAATTAGCAGAGCTTGGGAGAGAATGAAGCCCTCAAGGTGAGGAGAGTTCAGGAGAGAGAGGCAGAAGAACACGATGGTAGGAATACTGGCTGAGAGGCCAGGTGGTGGTGCAGGGAAAACTCAGCTGGCCCCACCAGGGAAGGTCCTGAGTTCCCATTCTGGAACGTCCCTGAGCATTCTGAGAATGCACACTCATGCCCGTGTTCTGGGCCAGCTAAGATTCGGGGTGGATGGTGGTATGAGGACCTATTATGGGTGCCTGTCTCTGTCTTTCTGTTTCTCTGTCACATAAAAATAAATTAATTAAACATTTAGAAAAACTGGCTCAGTCATTTGTGTGTGTGTGAGTGTTTGTGTGTTTAAGTTTTGCTATAGGGTGTGCTCCCTGGAGGGAGGGAGGGAGGGAGGGAAGGAGGAAGGAAGGGAGTAAGAGAAAATGAGAACCTCGGGGGGATGGCCACTGGCAATCCCTTCTCTTCCATTCTCCTCCAGATTTTGGGCATGCACACACAAGTGCCTGGCATGATTTTCAAGTCACTGGGTCCAGGACTCTAACCACACAGTCGTCCATATGGAATCCAGCTGCCTTAACCTCACACCACCTGCTGGCCCATCAGCCACTCTTTTAGCTACATGACAAATGGCAAGCTATTTATCAGCCGAGTCTCAGTTTACTTATTTGCAATATGGGGTTATCAAGAGTACTAGTCTCACTGCGTGTTTGTAAGAAGTAAATGGTACAACATATACAGAGCAAAATACAGACATTCAGTAAATGCTCACTGATTCTACATCAAACCTCCTCTCCTCTCAGGTGAACCAGTCTCACCTCATGGAGAAGACAGATGCCGTCGTGCCTTTAACTTTTTGGCCACCCTTCTCCAAAGACACCCAGAGCTGCAGCCATATTGACTGTCTTCCTCATGGCCTTGCTGTCAAGGTGAGTCCCTCTAACTGGGCTGTGTCCTTCCTGTCCTGACCCAGTAAGGCCCTGTTCCCTCAACTACCTCCACTCGCCTGCACCTTCCAATTCCTCTCTTCCATCGTCACCTAGTCTCAAAGACGTATCAAAGATGGCAGCAGAAGTGAACAACTGAGAAGTCGGAGAGGTGGAGAACCACGTGGATAGAGGACAGGAGTGGGAGAGAGAACTTAGCTATTTTCACTTAGCCAAACTTGTTGAATTTTTGAAACACATTAATGTTTTACCTGGCTTTTAAAAGCACATCTTTTTGATTCCATATCCCCCTTGAGTTACCACCTTCCATGTCTACTTCCTTTTAATACCAAGCTTCATGCTAAAAGGGGGATACTCGGGTCCTCACTCTTTTACCTTTTCCTCAACCCCGTGCAATCTAGCCACCCCACCCAAATCTGTGTGAAGATCTCCAGTGACCTCCAACCTCCCAGATTAGTAACAGCTTTTCTATTCTCGGTTTATTTTACCTCTCTGCATTGGAAACAGAAGACCACATCTTCCTCTCTCGACACTCTTAGCGCCCTCGGCTCCTGAACCACTTCACACGCCTGGTTTCCTTGCTACCCTCCGGGTGTTTCCTTGATCACTTTTAAGAGCTACTCTTGAAGAAGTCAGGGGGGCCACCTTGGAGTCTCCCCTTCCCTACCATATCCAGTACATCGCTATATTCATCAAGGTCACCTCCCAAATACTTGCCGTGTCCATCCATTCATCTCCTTGCTGCTGGCCTTCACTGGGCTATTAACATTTCTCATCAGCCTTTTTAAAATATTTTGCTATAGGGCATGTGCATGCCAGAGAGAGAAAGAGAGAGACAGAGAGAGGGGGGGGGAGGGAGGGAGGGAAAGTGAGAAATCACCCACCAGGGGGATGGCCATGCTGCAATCCCTCCTCCTTCATTCTCCTCTAGGGATCTTGAGCACACGTGCCCAGTGTGTTTTTTAAGCCACCAGGTCTGAGACTTGAACTACGCAGATGGCCATGTGGGACCCAGTGCCTTAACTTCCACTCTACCCACTAGCCCCTCATCTGCTTCTTACTTCCTACCTTCTTTTAGCTCATCTTCCCCGTCACCAAAGTGACCTTTCTAAAAGTTAAATCTAAACCTCATGTACCTTCCTGCTTAGGTTCCTTTGATGTTCCAAGTTTTCTTTCTGGATAAAGTCCAAACCCATCAGCAGGCCATGCCGAAGGCTTTAGTACCTGGCTTCTCAGTAACTGCTACTGGCCTTCAGCCCCCAGGACTCCTGCCCTCCCCAAACCCAGCACCCCCTCTGCCGGTACACATGCTGATTTCTCTGCTTGGAACACTTCATTTTCTTCTTTCTCCAGTTAATTCTTGCTTCTCCTTTAACCTCTCAGCTAAGTGTCCCTTCTCTGGGAAGGCCTTCTGGAAATCCTAGGCTCAGCCGGACCGTCCCTTTGCTGAGTTCCCACATCTTCCTGAGCAACTTTCTCAAGACCCTTGACTGACGCCCTAGTGAGGCTGAGAGAGCGAAGACTGCCTTTTTAATCTGCATAGCATGGAACAGAGTCTTATCCATGGCAGGTACTCCTGCATGTCTGTTACATGAAGAAACTCCTTGGAAGGAAGAGTACCTACCGGGGAGATAGCCAGTTGTAAGATTGTCCCATTCTTAATGTCGCTGCGAGTCTGGGTAGCAGAGAGAAAGACAAACAAAAAATTAAGTTATTAAAATAAAACAAGAGAGTTGAACGGACAAGAACTGTCATTTTTTTCGGGAACCAGCAGTTAGTGTAATGGCTATGTCGCTGGATTCCCACGTAGTCGACCCCGGTGCATGTCCCGGACCCAGTGGCTTAGAACTCATGCCGGGCGCATGTGCGTGTGTGCCCAAGATCCCGAGAGGAGAATGGAGAACGGATTGCGGTGTGACCATCCCCCCTGGGGGGTGACTTCTCGCTTTCTGTCTCTATGTCTCTCTCTGTCTGGCGAGCGCACGTGCCCTATAACGAAAACCTCTCAAAAAAAAAAAAAAAAAAAAAAAACTGTCATTTTTAAAGTAACTGTAGGGCCAGCAGATGAGGTGGTGGTTAAGGTGCTGGACTCTCACATGGCTGACCACGGTTTGAGTCCTGGACCCAGTGGCATGCTCTCTCTTTCTCTGTCTCTCTCTGGTCAAACTAAAAAATAATGATAATGATAATAATAAATGAAATGAAATAAATAAATTATAAATAATAATAAAGTAACTGTAATGGAAGCTCTTCAGTCAGGCCCTCTTCTCCAGCCTGTCCCCTTGGCAAAGAGCTTCCAAAATCCACTTCAAGTGTCCTGGGCCCTCAGGTGGTAGAAGCCACCTTTTCTCAGCCACTAGAGGAGAATAAAGGCTGGTGCTCCCCTGTCTGTGTAGGGAGCAGCTTGTTACCCAAAAAATGGAAGGCACCTGAACACCAAGTAAGACACGCGGTGCCGCTGTCGCGTGGTTCACTTCCAAGCAAGGGCCATACCGACTGTGCTTCTCTCTTTACTAACCTGCTCGGTGATGTAGAGCTGGGGACCATCTGCGTAACGGAGGGTGTAATATTCCGGGTTTGGCAACGACCACCTACGTAAGAGGAAAACAGTACATCTTATTGGCCATTCTCCCGGCTCTGTCCGGAGCTGCAAATCAATTACTTTCAACAGAATGGCTCAAAGGGTTGGGTGGCCTGTTTGGAGCACAGTGGAAAAAACCCAAAGCTTTAGGTTGCGGTTTTAAAAGTTTAAAAAAAGTAACCTCCTCGGCCTTTGGTAAAGATTAGTATTACAGAAGAAAAAAAAGGGATAAAATGAAGGTGGTCTTAGATTCCACCAAGGCCTCAAGAAGGGCATTTCCGGACTTAATGGAAAACATCAGGATTTATAGGAGGTCTAGGGACATCGTGATCAAATATACTCCCTTCTCAAGTCCTTAATGATCCACAAGAGCCTCACGCCAGGGCCTGCCCAACTGCAGATCCATCCCAGAATCCCCGTCAAGCTCTGGCAGTGCTCCTTTTGTCTTAGCTGCCATTGTTAAAACAGATCCATTACCAGGGTTAGGGCGGCTGGATCCCACATGGCTGACCACAGTTTGAGTCCTGGATCTGACAGCCTGAAAATCATCCTGGGTTCGTGTGCATGTGTGCCCAAAATCCCCAGAGGAGAATGGAGGAGATGGGATCATGGAGGGCCATCTCCCCAGGGGTGTGTTTTCTCACTTTCTTTCTCTGTCTCTCTCTGGCAAGCACGCATACCTGATGGCCAAAAAAAAAAAAAGAAGAGGTCAGTTCCAACCTACCCGTCACAGACTTCCTTGATGATGGATGCCAGGGGCCGTTTCTGGAAGAAAGAGAAAGAGAGAGACGGTTTACCACGGCCACACCCTACTCACATCGGCCCTCTGGCCATGGGCTGGCAAGCAGTCCAGGCTCAGGTATGAGGACAGACTCATCCTGACAGACTGGAAGCCTCTCCCAAGCCACAGGGAGCCTTGAGTAGGCCAGGCCCAAAGCTCGGCCTTCCTGTGGCTGGGCTTACTCTCGGCCCATGTCTTCTTTCCTGAAGCTGCCCCCCACTACGTGCTCCCAGGGCCCTCTCCCTGCATTGCTGCTCATTTCAGAGCATACCTGGTCGATCTCGAGGAGCTGGGCGTTAGCACCTGGCCATTCGATGGCCACCTTGACGATGTCTGATGGTGGTGGCATCGTTGTCAATGGGCCCTACTTCTCTGAGACACAGACACGGCTGCCTGCAGACACACAATCGGAAAGAAGGAAAAACTCAGAGTGCAACTTTATTGTTCACTTCCTTTTCTTAAAGTTTATTTTACTCATGATAAGTGAGCACACACGCATGCAAGGCAGGGAGCAGGGAGGGAAAGAG